TAAATCAAGAAAAATAAAATTCGGCACCAATTTTTTTTCTCTCTCTGCTAATTACTTGTAATCTGTGCTTGCGTCCTATCAGCACTGTACATCTGATGCTCCGAATTTCTCTTTTAAACTGATCGGATCTGCGCGTGTTACAAAACTGGTGTCAATCATTACCGCGGCGAGGCACAGGTGCCTGTTGAATTTCAACTGGCCGGTGTACAGGATTAAAGTGAAAGGCGCCCCCTGGTATAGTACAGTTCGCCAGAGGTAGCCTTGGCTCACACTAAACAGACGTCGGACTCGGGGAGTGATCGTCTTCTTGGTATATCAAGCGGACACACTGGTCTTAATTGTATTTTCCAATTAACGTTTAGCCCAAGTAAGTATTAGATACCAGGACACCTGATGGCACAGAACTCTACCAAACTTTTATTAATCTGCCGTGTGAGCGTATCGTCACAAGTCCTAGCGGTAAAACGTGTCTGATAAGCCCAGCCAGTCTGCCTCAGGTGCACATGGACGCGCCATGCCGCCTCCCGCTACCGGAAATGAAGACGAAATTAACAGAGTCTCCTCTCTTGACTCGATAAGGTCGGCAACAGAGCATGTCGCTTTTGCATCTCTATTTCTTGGATTTATCAATAGGGGGGAGGAGGGGATCCTGATGAAACGTAAACAAGCTTTAATGGCACCTTCAAACAGAATTGTTCTCTTTGTGCGATCCAAGCGCATCAAATCAGAAGACGGGATTGCTTTCTATACTCAGGAAATAGAGAAGGGATCCAAAAGTAAATGTCATCCGCCATTTGTTCTGATCTGTATAATCACTGCACGTCAAGATTCCGCAACGAAAGAGCATAAATCTACTTTGCTCGCACCATACAAAGTTGGGGATTCTGCTGAATTGCAAACAAATTTGATAATAAAGTCCATTAGCAGTATAGATATGATGTAGATAAAAGGGCTGTCGCTTTGGCCCAAATTATCTATGAAAGTGGCAGTAGTATACATCAATCTAGCTTGTAGAGTCCACATTTAATATATGTTTACAAGCAGCAATCGTTTGATCGTTCAGCAGGTGACGATACTCTATCCTAAATGTACCATAAAACTCCCTGTGAGGCATAAGTGTGAAGGAAGGACTAAATGTGGAAAAGTTAAAACCAAATAAATTTCTTCTGGTGATAACTTCCCTATCTTATCTCTGGAAACGGAACGTAACATGACATTAAGAACTTTGAAAATAGAGAGGTTTCTCAATGAAATCTTGTTCAAGGAATGTTTTAGCTATGACTCAGAGATTTTAAGAATTCAATAATAGAAATTCGCAGATTTCTTAAAAATCATTTCTCTCCCTGCGACATCAAAATTTACACGTGCCCAAAGAATGTCCATTAAAAATATCTAATTACAGAAAATTACAGACTGCAGCTAATTAGACAAAATGTCACGATTTTTCCAGTTTCCTTCTGTTTTGCCAAGATTCCTGGTTCGTATAGAAAAAGAGCAATTCAATTTATAAAACTAGCGCCAAGGAATGTTATTATGCACATTTTTAATTATTACAACATTGCTTTCTACTGATTCGTTAATATTCTTTGCATGGTACTTTGGCCGTTTACAGCAAGAAAATTATACGCGGAATTGGATGTTGGAAATTAAGAATTATTCAGAGCAATTTTCGGTTTTTACAGACTTATTTCCAAATGGCGTAAAACTTTGCGGATGGACTTGATTCCTTTTCCTGACGTCCGATCATTTCGATTGATGAGGGTCATTAATCTTGTGTCCCCTTCATCAACTGGACGCGTGCTAGGTCCCGTTGGTCCATTTTTCACGAGCAGCATGCTTCGGCCCTAAGGCCGTTGTGCAAACGCCAGTTCCCACACTTCACGTGTTATTATGGGCACAATCACTAATGAACTATCCTACTAAGCGTACAGTTTATGTCGGATTGATAAACGAGTATTTAGCATATTATCTTTCAAATGACAGAGGCTTGTGCGAGCTTTGATTTCCTAAAACAGCGACTCACCTCACTGTAGATCAAAATGAAACTATAACGAGGGAAATAATGACATTCTGCGTCCCATCTCTTGTGTAGATCCGGGAAGATTACCATGCAAACATTTATACAACAGGAAAAGAATACAACAAATGATATATTCTATATATCAGCGCTCATTTTACTTCGTAATTTCGCTTCCGTTCTACAAAAGATGGAAACATCCATTTTGATACCTTTATTAGGAAGATAATTACGTCTGAATAATAGAAAATAAAAAAAGTGAATTAAATTACTGAAAAAAATATCTAAATATAAAAAAAATGTGAAGACTAGAGAGAGATAGAAACAGACAGATAACGGACATTGATCGCAGAAGCATATTGAATGTTAAGACAAATTAAAACCTAAGAAGTCTTCAGAACTGTAAGCGGTATACGTGTTTTTTTTTTGTTTTTTTGTTTTTGTTTTTTTTTAGGGAAAGTTGTAATTATTCCATTTCTTTTTCGTACGTTATTTATTTAAATTACCTTTTAAACAATTGAAGAGAGGGTAATGCAAATGTAGAGGACACACAACATGAGTGAACAACATTGAGATACGGATTTTTTTTTTTTTATACGTGCTTTGAATCTTAACACACACGACCAGTTCGTGATTCTGCACAGAGGCTGCTGGAGTCTGATAATCAGGTAAAGACATATAAAGACACAGACAGTAAAAACGCTATAGTGAGATACATAGAACCCGGTCTGCACTACAGTTATAACTTAAAGTAAAGCATATGGTACATGTGCCAATAGACATTAATGACAAAGAACAGGCGACAATACTCGCCATATCTTGCCAAAATCTGCACTTGAACATATGACATGCGTGTTTGCACGTGAAGAACCATCATTAGTATTTTAGAAATTTACCCACAGGCGTCGGCCTGCCTTACAACGACACTAAAATGAATATCATTTCAATTTTATCTTTCGTGTGTCAAGTAATTTGTCAGAAACGAATCTTTCGGATGTATCCACAAAAATGGGCCCGATTTTTTGAAATTGACGATAATCCCATTAAAATGATGAATTCTTGACAAAATTTTATTTTAAAAAACGCATTCAGGGGAACATTATTTCCCTGATTAATACAATATTCAAGAAACTAATTAATTAAAATTGTGTGTTAACAATTAGAATCCTATTATTTTCCTTATTTGTATTGTACTATCAAAGTTAGAAAACATGAAAAGGAAAAATTATGAAAAAGCAAAATACTGCAGATTCACTCCTCTTTGTACTAGAAATAACTTTGTAGTCCACTTAAAATGAAATTTAATTTAACAAAGCTTTACGAAAGTGCATTTGAATTGAGCACTTAATTTTAGCAAACGTTGCTTCTTGCAAAAATAGTAAAAATACATTAAGCTATTGATTTTGTAACATCCGCAAATCACTGTGAACGAAGAGTGCAATAAACCATAAGAAGAATGGTACTCGATTAATAGTTATGACCCTAAGGATTTCGCCTGATACATTGATCTTCCGAACAGTAATACAACGCACGGAAGAAAATGGCATGTCTGCATTAAAGAAGTGCCAATGTGCAAAACACATCATCAAATTCTCTTGTAAGTCATCAGCAGCCGACAGCAGAAGAAGCGCGGGAACACCCGGGATTCATGTCCGTCGCCGGTAGAGCCTAGCATGTGTTTTCTGACATTATACATACACGAGATTATCAGGTTAGGAAGTGTGTATTGGCATTAGTAGTCCATTAATACGTCATGAAGATTTTTCTTTGTAGTGACACTGACCAGAGGGTAAAACACTGAAACTCAATTACATATCTAATCTACTGTGGTAGATTGTGCACTGCCCGCTCGGGGAATAAACGCCCGAATGCTTTAATAATTATTACTGATAATCTTGTCGGAGCTTTAGGAGTCTATCACGGCTGTACAGGATCCGTCATGGGATAACAATCCACAGAGAATCCCCCAACCAATGAAAGCCTCTTCAAATACGTATAAAACGTGGGGATGACTTTACTGCCTGGAGTCAGACACTTTCTACGATTTAATCTTCACCCCCTACATCGCAAAAACTCGGTATAATGTCTGATAATTGTTTTAAGCGAAAATTCTCACAGAAAATACGATCAAATCGCTTCATTTCACTTGTAAGTTAGATTATCATTATTTGTCGATAAATGGTGTGAAAAGTCGAAGGGCTCCACTTTCTAGAATTCACAAATTGCAAGTGTACAATTTACAAGGCATGACGTAGCTAGCATTTACTTCTGTAAATTACGTCGGATAGTTTATAAATTAAGAACCCTCTCTACACTGCCCGCTAAAGAGTTCTAATTCTATGGTATTTTTCTGCAGTTAGAGTGATCTGCCCTTAGATCTAAATTCTAAAAAAAAAAAAGAAAAAGAAATTTACAGTATATTACTCAATTTGTAATTAATTCAAGTATTCTTAACATTTAAAAGGCCAAGATAAATAAATTGAAAATGTTATTTACATGTATTGTCTCTATGGAAGTAAACATCAGTGATTTCTATTCACTGATACTGTGTTGTGTTTGAACATTTTTCCTGGGGGTAAATGCCACGTACCATATAGTGAAAATTAAATAGATAAGCTCAATATTAACACCTTTATACAATATATTTTTCTCAATGTCCAAAAAACATTTTGCACTGGTGTAGAGAGGGTCCGAAAACCTAATCTGCACGGAAAACTGAAACTACGCTAACTCTTATTCTGCGAAATATACTTAACATATGTCATCGTTTGACGGTGTGTTAATCTACAAACATGTCAGTCCAGAGGCCTGTTCAACAGAGTGAACGTTCGCGAGCACTCACCAAAATTCATTATTGTTCGCGAGCGCTCGCTCAGTTGAACAGGCCTCAGAACATGCAGAATATTGAAGAAACGTGTTGCATTCGCAATAGGCGGGACTGCATTATTGTGTCAACAACAAGTTTGAATGATATTACACAGGATAAATGTAAAAATAAGATATTTATTATTGAAATAAATACTATTACAAATACAATTTATACATATTATTGTCTAGCTCATTTATATATAAAAAAAAATTGCTTCTTTGGATGCATTTATTTTCTCAACATCTGGGAAGGGGGGTTGGGGGTTGTTATATTTGGATTTTATGTGTTTATGTATTCCTGTCTTGGATCTAAGATTTGCCTAATACTCAGTATAATAAGCCATACTTCTTTGTAGGTGCAGATCTGTAGCTCACTGGTCTGAAAGCAATTGTGATGGACGATGGTTGTCAGACCAGTGAACTACAGATGTTCTACAGAGCTAAATGTTAACTTGATCATACTGAAATAATAAATAGTATACTATTCTTCATACAGACATTGATAAATACTACATGTACTGTAGCAAATAGTTTTATCTCACTTGATCTCAATGCACATGAATAAATGTATTTGCTTAATATTAAAGTCACAAGTAACATTACTGAGATACACATGTATCTACAATGTGTATCTTGAATGTATCCGAGTGAAAGACTTGAAAAGTCCTGATTTATATTAAAACAGATGGTGAATCAAACTATAGTGTAAAAGCTACAGAACTATCTCTGTGAAAGAGTTAGTCATAATTTATTGAACACATAGTTTTAAAATCATGAAATACCTCACAACCTCTGTAATAATGTTACTTCAAATTAATACGGAAAATCGCCATTAAATTTGGACTATTATTTTCTTTCTTTTTTTTGGGGGGGGGGGGTATCACTGTTACAAACAAAAAATATGTGAAAGAGTCACCTCTTGATACAGTATATAAAACAGTCTCTAGTAAGGTTGGGCAGTCTAATGCCATGAAAGTTATGGGGACTGTTAAATGAGGATGGCTAGTCATGTGACACAATGATGGAATGTCATGTGACAATATGGTGGCTAGTCATGTGACACAATGGTGGCCTGTCATGTGATGCAATGGGAGTGAATAGTCTTTGTTTTGCTGAAGAGTTACTTGGATGCTTGCTTCACCTGAGAGCTGGCAACTGCTAATACTTTATCACCAGAAGCTGAAAGAAATGTGAACTTTAATTAGTGACAAGACTTTGTATCACCACTCACTACATAAATATTTAAAGGACTGTGTAGCAATAGATATAGTTTCAGAGAATATATACATGGTGATTCTGTCCTTATTCTACAATATTCATTGAAAAAAAAATACTTAACTGCACTTTCCTAGATTAACCTCAAAATCAACAAATTACAACTGCATTGTGGTTCATATAGTAATACAATGACAGACCTAAGTCCCCTGAGACTTGTTCGAACTGTTTGAGGCTGGCGCTGGAGTTGTTTTGTAGGTAAGCCTCTTCCTCGGGTGTCAGGTTCTCTCCAAGCTTCTTCAGGGCAGTTAAAATTTCCACCGACTGCTGGGTGGCAACATCACCTGATAGTTTTCCTACCTTCTCATCTCTTCTAATCTACATAAAAGACAAAAGTTCGCTAAAAACTTTTATTGATAGTAATACTACAGCAACTCTTGTATAGGAAAAAGACATGAACAAGCCTCTATAGAGTTATCTCTCTTGTCATACCTCAGCGAGCCTTTGTCTCAGTTGTCCAGGCTGCTTTTTGGCAAACATTCTGATGACCTCAGGAGTTTTGAATGCTTTACTGATGGCTGCTTGAATGGCCTGTGAAGAGGGAATACCAATACAATATAATCTACATTTATTCAGGTCACAAATGTTGCAGAGATGAAAAGGGGAGCAATCCATTCTATTCTAAGGATAATTGAAATGTAGATAATAGATGATGCACATTAACCTCAGAATGAACTCAATGAATTTTTCACTTTAAGTTTGTGTATAAGGTCTTTTGACCACAGGTAAAATAGACAATCATTTTTCCTTTCAGTTGGTGTAAGGTTCATTGAGATACGATCTTGAAGCAAGATTATGAAATACACTTTGCATTACCTGCAACAACATATTTAAGTTTGAATTCATTCCAATAAAGTGTTCCAAAGATATAGCCTCTACAACATTTCACCATGTCATTGCCTGATAACTTTGACCTTTGAGGCATGACCTTAGGTCAAGATCACTTTAAATCATAGACAACAACACATAAAATGTTGCATTCATTCCAACTCAGGGTTCAAAATTTATTGTACAGACACAATTTTGTTAAAACAGATAGGCTAGACAAACAAATGCATAACTAGACAGATGGACAACCTTTTTGAAATAAATGTCTTCTCCTTTTTTCGGAGAAATAATCACAGAAATACAAGGCAATGGCTGAAAAGACTTTTAATATCTTATCTTTTCCCTCTTCTTCACACCATGTAACACAGGTGCCTGAAAAAGTACATCTCTGAATTGAATGAATGACTTACTAACTGCATGCCACTGAGCTGATCTACCAGGCTGAGGTTACCGCCCACCATATTATCCAGCGATTCCTTGAACTCCGTCAGCTGATCCATTGTTTCTTGCTTTGTTTCTTCATATTCCTCAGCATCCAGGTCCTCTCTGTCAAGATAAAAGTAAACTCAAAAGATATTTTTTTAAAAAAGAAGAAATTTAAAAGCACTTTAGAGAGATTATGGACTTTTGTATTTTAAAAAATATTCTTCTATTTTTCAAAAGAAGTGTCATTGTACATACTTGGCCTCCTCTAAATCAGCCAGTTGCTGAACAAGACGATCCAGTTGCTCCTCTAAGTTACTCTTCAGTTTCTCCGTCTCCTCCTGACCTCTCGTGCTCTCTGTTTTGAAAGGAATTTCAAATACATTTAATTAGGAAAATATTGACACACTAGAGCAATTACATTTGTTTTATTAATAAATTTTGTATCTTCAGGAATTTGATTTTAACATTTCTTAATTTAATGAGTATCACATCAATTACTTCACAGTTTTTTCCTTCTGGATGTTCAAGTATAATAAATTATAATTTAAATAAAAATTCATGAAATCCAATAAAATCAAAGGAAATTTCGAAAAAAATTAACCAACTAACATATTATGAGCGTACTGACTTTGGGCGATCAAGTTTTAGAGCAAACGGACTCTGGGCAAACAAGAATTAGGGTGAACGGTGTCAAGGGCAAACACGTTTTTAGGGCGAACGAACATACATTCAATACTCCTAAGTACGGAAGCGTATTAGGGCCGCAGCATATCTTTTATTAATTTGTTTTAACAAATTACTAATTTGTTATAACAAATTATCAATTTGTTATAACGAATTATCAATTTGTTAAATCAAATTACTAATTTGTTATAACAGAATAGTAATTTGTTATAACAAATTGATAATTTGATATAACAAATTATCAATTTGATATAACAAATTACTAATTTGTTATAAGAAATTACTAATTTGTTATAACAAATTACTAATTTGTTATAACAAATTACTAATTTGTTACAACAAATTACTAATTTGTTATAACAAATTACTAATTTGTTATAACAAATTACTATTTTTGATAAAGTGAAAGTGTATACAAATCTATGGAAGCCAGATGAGATCAGAAATCTTTTAATGAGTTGAATTTGTGAAAATAATAAATGTACAAGCTCTGCAGCTACAGCTTTTGACCAATATGTTAATCTGGATTTACATCTTTTAGCACTTACAGTTTTCACTGTCAAACATTATTGTTATAAAGATACAATGCATCAAATTCTTTGGTTCCTAATTACTTATTCTTAGGAGCTCTATTTGAATTTTGTCCTCGATCCTCCCCCACCAGGGCTCCGTCCTTGACTCCCATCTACCAGGTCATTGCATCCCCGTTCGTATGCTAGGGAAAAAATATCTTATCTAAGACTTGTTATTTTGAGAGGGAATTTTTCCCATCCTGAATCAACATGTTCAACATAATATGTTTTCTTTTTCAATATGTCTTCTTTTTAATTTTATTTCATTTTAACCCCTCTCTCTCTCTCTCTCTCTCTCTCGATTCATTCTATACACGTACCAAATGATGATCTACTTTACGTACTGCTTTTCAATTTTTAAATGTACCATTAATTTTATGCATGTATGTACTTAGACAAATGGAGAGAGTATTATAGGCATTTATGCCTACTGTTCAATCCAGTTTATGTATAATGAATAAAATATATTTTAAACTAAACCACCGTTTCTAATACAAAAACCTGAATCTGCTCCTCTGGTGAACCTCCTTGGCCCCAGTTTACGCTGGGGGCAATAAAAGCAACATTGACAAAAATGAATTTGTAGATAAATTATCACAGAAAAAATGATAAACACTCTGTAATAACCTTCTCTGAAAACGAAAATAAACAATATTCTTGAGTGGGTAGTACTTCGTAAAATTTTAATTTAGATACCTTGTGAAATTTTTTCATGTATGTATGTAATTTTTATAATCAAAATACGTGCCTTTTGGAAAAGCCCTCAAAGTCCCACTAAAGCCTTCATAACTTATTATTGGCTGAAAACTTTGACAGTTGTTTCTATAAATTCATTTGTAATTTGTATCCTGGTTGTCTCATATAGGACTACTCATATATTTTACAAGAAATCGTTAAGCAGTATAATTTGTTATAACAATACACACAAAATATTACACATGTGTAAAGAAGGAAAAATTAGGTCTTCTCCCCTTTTGACCCCTGTGTTGACATTGAAAAAAGTGTTGATTTGAATGGACGACGTTGAAATCATATTTAATTGTGCGGAACTTCGAATTTTTCTCGAAGGATCCAACATTCTGTATTTCTTCTACATAATCTCTGGGATGCAGCTATTCTTTTAATTGTCTAACAGAGACATCTATTCCAAGGAACTGACTCAAAAAAAAAAAAAAGAAAGAAAAACAACAACAACAAAACAAAACAAAAATTAAAAAACAAACCTGCAATTAAACCAAAATTAAAGTGCTTTAATCTAAGTTGCTAATTCATCTAAATCCATATTAACATATTGATCAAAAGCTCTTCAAAGCTTATGCTTTACGTTTTCATAAAACTGATTTAAAATAAGATTTCTGATCTGATCTGATCTGGCTTCCGTAGATTTGTATTCACCTTCATATTTTGTCAAAAATAGTAATTTTTTAAATCAAATTACTAATTTGTTATAACAAATTAATAATTTGTTATATCAAATTAATAATTTGTTATATCAAATTAATAATTTGTTATAACAAATTACTAATCTGTTATAACAAATTAATAATTTGTTATATCAAATTGATAATTTGTTATATCAAATTAGTAATTTGTTATAACAATTAGTAATCTGTTATAACAAATTAGTAATTTGTTTTAACAAATTGATTATCTGTTATAACAAATTGATAATTTGTTATAACAAATTAGTAACTTGTTATAACAAATTAGTAATTTGTTTTAACAAATTGATAATTTGTTATAACAAATTAGTAATCTGTTATAACAAATTAGTAATCTGTTATAACAAATTAGTAATTTGTTAAAACAAATTAATAAAAGATACTGCTGCGGCCCTATTACGCTTCCGTACCTTAGCCAGTGAACTCACCTGCCTAAACAACCACAAATGCAGCAAATAAGCAAAGGAATCATTACACAGTCCCTTTTGTATTTATGAAATGTTTTATTCACCATATTCTCTAGATACATGTACCTTTCTTAAAAAGCACAGAAGTGAGTTAGAGATATTAAAAATTTGATGAACGACACTAGTAGTAGCCTTTATACTGCCCCACCCCCACCCACAGAGGAATAAATACCAACACTATCAGACCAGTTCAGGTAATTAAATCAAACTTACTGTGGTGTGACGAACTCATCTTTTTTTTTATTAAATAGTATGCCAATGAAGGCTAATTGATAAACATGTAGAAAATTCGTGACGGTCAGGTGGCTTGACTTTAGACATCAACATCGGAAGTCATTCATTCGCAATAAACTCAGAACGCGACTATAAGATAATGAGCAGAATTTTTTGTGCTTTAATACAGGTAAATCGACAGAGAAATGTACTTTGCTTTGAATATTATAAACGTTGTACCTAACCGAAGTTTTCAAATCAGATCTTATTTTTTCTCTCTGTTCAGGTTAATTAATTTATTATCGACGAAAAATGACTCTTAAGAATCCGGAATTTGAACTCGAAATACTTCAATTTTGCAATCTCCTTGTCGCTGTCAAATAGGTCGGACTAAAACATAGTCGGACTACAAAAAGCCTGCCTGACTATATATGACAATCAGTATCTATAGAAAGTATAAGCATGATAAGAAATAAACAATTTCGTACATTTTTTTTTCTTAAAAGGGGGTGGGTGGGTGTCGAAATATTTCATTACCGTTCATTTTGAAGACTTTTTACAAAAATTCGTAGTTTAATTTTTAAGTAAAACAAATTAATGTCATTTATTTGTGCTGGGAAGTTGTGGCTGTGTAAAGATAACACGAATTAGTTTCAACTGCACAGAAGATCGGAAATGCCGAAAGAGAGTGGAAAAATATTTTTAAAAAAATATCTACTCATACCAATTGTAATAATTTAAAGAATTAAATGTATATCTTTATGTAGTCTGAATTGTACGACTGTAATTATGTAATATTTTTTTAGGTGCACTTAGAACTAATATGACGTGTATCTTTCTGATTTAAGTAATCCTTCAAGTAAAAAAATCTCAACAAATCCCCACGTAATTAACTTTAATGATTTTTTTTCTTTAAATGCTTAAAATATTCAACTCATTTGACAGATTTCATTTATCTAATCGAGTCACATCTTATTCAACCCGTGCGTGCATGGGTTAATGTGTATTTAAAAAGTAAAAGAATCGGCAGATATGAAAAATATAATTTCAATGTCTTGTTTTTTAAACAGAATGTTTCTTAAAAATGAACATTTTTTGACCTGGTTACAACTTAAAGCTTCTGTTGACTTCCGCGGTGGGAATGATTTTTCTTCTGTACAACCTATCGTCTGATCATCCTGACACCTGTTTGCCTATGAACAATTAGTCACGTTTACAACATTATAATGTGTCTTTTCAAAAGTTTAACAAGTCCCTCCCTAAATTTACATCATTTAAGATCTGGGTGTATTGCAATACAGGTCCAAAGTTAAGAAAAACTAATCTTGAATTCAATATTGCTTTTTAAGCTTCTTCATGAAAGATAAGAGGTATCTTGTTTCTTGATTAAGCTACATAAATCGTCTCCTATATACCGAAAAAACAAACTCGATTCGAATCGATTTCTTTTTTTTTTTCTTTTTGATAACATTTTGTCAAGAAAGCTCTAAACACTAATGAAAAATGTTTTTTAGACTTTGAGAAAATTTATCATTTATCAAAGTGTACATTATTGAGTCTAGATATATCTGGTTCGTTTCAACAAAGAGTACCTGTCATATTTCTCCAGAAAAAAAGTTAAAAGAAAATGAAGTATTAATAACAAGGCCATTGGAGAAGACTGTATCAGTCATAAATGTTAAACGCAACGAAACTACTATTGTCAAACCTCTATGTTTACTGTTTAATCGTCCATTGAAAGACTGTGTACTGTAGTTTTTCCTAAAAAAAAAAAACAAACCAAAAAACCCCGAGAAATTAGCTAATGTTATTCCTCTCTTTAAAAAAAAAAAAAAAAAAACTATCCTGTTTGACTAACTATAAACCTGTTTTATTGTTGAGCTGTGTCGGTAAAGTCATGAAACGTATTGTTTGTTTGTTTGTCGACCCTTTCGAGAATTTTTCACTCAAAGTCATATTGAAACTCCAGGGGTGCCACTTGCCGGTGGAGGGTTGCGAATTATAAGCAGTGATCGAGAGTTCTTTTTCGTGTTAGCACCTACTGCCACACGAGACCTCCAAGACCTCGGTTTATACGGTCTCATCCAAAACACCGGTCTGGCAATCGATGGAGCACTGGCAAATTCCAGGATTTTGACAGTTAATAATTTTTGGGGGGTTAGATTATTTGAGCTGAACCCCCCCCCTCACTTTTCGGGCAGATTTAAGCTTTTTTGTTTGTTTGTTTGTCATTTTTGCTTGTCGGATTGGGGGGGGGGAGGGGGTGATTCCCCACTTTTGAAACCGTTGCTACGGGCCTGTATGTACATATATGTATTGGTAGCAATATGTTTCGTTGGTTAAAAAGTTATCTAGATAGAAAATATATAGAACATAAAGACTGATACATGTATATAAAAATTCGGTATCCCCACCGGCATCCCTATATGCTGGCGTTCCACAAGATTCTGTATTAGGTCCATCGTTATTTTTAAAGCTATATATGGCGTATCTGAGCTAAAAAATAAAAATACGGGATTGAGTGTAGATGAACATGATATTTGTTATTTACGTTCAAATTAAAATTTTCATCGATTTTGAACTTGAATAACCCCCACGTTTCTATTGTTCAATTGACTTTAAACTGTGTCTGATATTTAAATGCAGAGTCGGTAAATAAATCGGTTATTGTTTTAAATTTCTAATATCTATGAATGCGATTGATTTAAATTGTGTAATTTACAGGAAAGTCCTATCTTTATACAGAGTAATAAAACAAATAGAAAGATCTTTTTAATTTTAGTTAGTCTGAACTTATCAAAAATACGCGCACCATATATGACTTTAATTTATTTAAATGATGTAGCTGGTAAGATATCAAGCTTTCGTACATTATTTGCTGATGATAACAGTTTGCACTACGCATCTATAAATGTTAAATCTATAGAAAGTAATCTGAAAAAAAGATCTTATATCTCTTGAAGAGTGGGCAAAGAAATTATTACTAAAATTTAATCCCTCTCAAACTAAGGTTGTATTTTTAGCATAAGGAAAAATATAGAACCTCCCAAACTCCTTTTCCAAGATATTAACCAATTAGAATTCTAACTCATAAATATGTAGAAGTAACTTTTTCATATAACTTGAGTTGGTTATCTCATTGAAATCTTACTGTCTAGCGCATTCAAAAATGGGTCTATTAAAAAAATTTAAATTCAAAATAAATCGAAAGACTCTCTCACTTATGGATACCTCATTTATCCACCCTCAACTCGAATATGCTTCAGTCATATATTGTGGTTGTCTAGCAATTGATTCTGAAAAATTAGAGAATTGCAACTACACGCAGCTCGGATTGCATGTTACAGAGATTCTATGTATTCTCTGTAAATAAACAAGATCCACAGATTAAAAACCATGTATAAAAATTCCTGATAATTCAGTTCCTAATTATTTATGTGATATTTCACCTGACGTGCGATGTAACGTTTCCGTGTACACAGCAAGAAATTCTCAGAATTATAATATACCCGTTTGTAGACTGCAAAGTTACAAATCATTATTTGTACCAACTGTAGTTAACGAGTGGAATTCTTCCTCATTAGACACCAGACTTTCGAGTTCATTGTCTGTTTTTAAAAGTAAAAAAGCACACAAAAATAACAGTACCTCCGCCTTACTTCAATTTTGGAAAAAGACGTTACAATATACTGCACACTAGACTTCGACACAATTGTGTGCTAAACGTTGACCTGTATAGGTGTAACAAAATATCTAGTCCATTATGCTCTTGTGGTATAAGTTAGGAGACACACATCATTATTTTCTCCTGTCCTAATTACACGAGGCCAGTAAAGAGCTTTTCGATAAGTTTTTCAGATTTAATAAAGTTCATATTGTTGACAAACATACGTTACTCTGAGGGATACTTCACTCAGTATTGCTGAAAATGAATATTGTTTTTCTATTGTGCATTCTTATATTCACCATTCTGGTAGATTCATCTAATTCAATTTTTGTGATATTATACATGTAGGGAGAGACGAATTCAGGTTTTAGAACTAGTGCCCAATCCCATTGTATATACAATGTACATATATATTAATTGCAATAAAATATGTTCAAACCAAGAAGTAATACACAAAAATACCGTTGTTTAGTTACATTGTGAAAATACATGCAAATAAAGTTTCAATTATTATATCTTCATCTAATATAATGTTAGAAATTCTTTAATCTTTTTTCGTATTTGTTATTAACTGTACCATTCTACGTCAAAGGGCAGATCACTCTACTGCATAAAACTACCATGCAATTAGCACTCTTTAGTGAACACGTTTAGAGCTTCCTTTAGCATAAAAATTGTACTAAGATGACTAACTTTCCGCCCATCATAGAATTGTAGAAATTAATCATTAAATATGTCTTCATCATGCAAGCACTATTTCATTACTCCAGGAAGTTATATTTCAGTCGGTTAACTGTGATATTTATCTTTAAGTGCTGCTGAAGCTCTGGAAATAAGGACTACCAACGTTGAAAAATAAGGTGCTTCAATTCTTCTGGCATAGAGATGTGGTGGCAGGAACGATCCCTTCCGTTACCTTTATTGCCACGCAAGTCATTTATATCATTTTCACATTTATTTCCTTCTGTCTAAAAAGGTTAAAGCTGAATGAACCGGGGGCTTCGTCATACGGAATGTTGTCCCGTAAGTCCAACGATTGTGGATTGTTATTATTTACATTTCATGTTTAATTAAGAAAGTGCTGATAAGTAGTAAAACTTATTTACTTTGCCGACTGGAAGTCATTTGTATACAGTGTGGAAAAAAATCGGAAAATCTCATGATATAACAAAGACGTCAATAATGGTAGTGCCCGCCTTAACCGTCTTGTCGCTGGAAGCCTGAATTTTTGGGAGATTTGCCACCTAGACAGAGTTTAGTGTCCCTTTTTAAGGTAAAACGTATGTCATTGCAAATTCCTGAGTCACTATGCAGCACTACCTGAACACCTAGCTATCAAAGAAGTCCCTAAAGAAACCTTGATAATTGACAAATAATTAGAAAAATAATTTGATTTAAGAAGTCAATCTTTTATTTGACCACATACCAAGGGCTCGTCAGCATTTCTTTACAGCATGTTATCAATTATTAATTCCACCCAAAAACAACATCCACAAAGACACAGGAGGCGCGGAAACGTAATATATGACGCCAATTCCGGGCCGCTATGATAAGAGACAGAATTGGTATTTAAAGACTGAAACAAGAAAGTAGACCATCAACTGTAATCGAGTCTCAAAGATTTTCCTGAAAGGATTCATATTCATAGGAATTATTCATTACATATAGTTATTTACTGCAACTGGACTCTATACATATACATACCAAGACATTCTTGTTTAACCAAAAAACCAAACTGCATAGACGTTGCAACATGGCTCTAATTTTTCTTCTGGTTCAATTGTCATCCATAAGTTTTACCTTTGGAGCCCCAATGACGGTAAGTTAACAAAATTGACGTTAAAAGTAGCAATTGTAATAAATGATAATTTGCCATGCATCATATTGAAGAAAAAGTCTGTCACATTTACCCAGGGTGTCGGAATTGGTCTACATAACTTTTTTAATGTCTACATTGGAATGAGTCCACCACGATATGTGTACGGCAACGTCAACCAACCTAAGGTACATATAGTTCGGCAACAACCGGACGACGAAAGGCACCCCAAACCATGGACTTTTGAATCGGATATGACATTGACTCCTTCTCAGAGGATGGCAATAGACAGAGACATTTTGCGCCGACGGATGGGGATTCCGACCATGAAGCGAAAAATTGTAGCTGATGAACGATACTACTGGCCCAATGGCGTTATACCGTACGAGACTAAAAACCTGGGTAAGTAAACAAAGAAAAAGGACGAACGTTTTTCGCAAAACTCAAACTTCTGTTAAATTAAAAAAAAATCATAAAAAGTAAACAAACAGCAAATGTATACAGAAAAAACCCTTTGAACATCTGATTTACCCCTCTTTAGCATTTGATCCAAATTGCCTCGTTAGTGGAAGATTCCGTGCACTCCATTGTTATTGTCCACTTCAGAGTTGCTTAGTAATGTTAATATATATTTTGTTTTAAATAGAGTTCACGGTTTCCTCTGACTTGAACACAGCCATTAACATGTGGGAGAAACTGACATGTATAAGATTTGTTGGTCGGACTAGAGCAAACCAAAAGCAATATAGAGATTACGTCACAATTCAACAAACTTATGATGGGTAACACATTCTAATATACATTAATTTTAATGTACAGCATATATAAAAAGGTAATTATAAAAAAAAAAGACAAAGATTCTTGGTATTTACAAAAAGACCAAAGATTCTTGCTGTGATAAAAAAATCTTTTGTAAACTTTTCAGCTGTGAATCAAATGTTGGTCGCATCGGAGGACAACAGGTCGTTAATGTTTCGAACGGATGCGGGGTATGTCGTATGTGTGACTTCTAAATATTCATACACGTTTTTTTAAAACGTTTTTTGACCTTGGACAATTAAAAAATTAATTACACCAAAATAATGTGGCACTGTCCTATTTTCAGGCTGGTAGTATTGCGCATGAACTGGGACATACCTTTGGATTTGTCCACGAACAGTCGAGGTCGGACCGGGATCAACATATACTTATTGTCGGTAACAATATCATTCCTGGAAATGAAAAGAACTTCCAAAAGTATTCCAACAAGAAAGTTTATACCTACGACTTGTCATATGACATAGGGTCCTTAATGCATTACAGTGATAAGGTAAAGAAAATTAACATAAACTTTTATTGGGAGCGAAAGTCAAACGTTTACATTGGGAATAGCTACAAATTTATTGGCCTTTTACCATTACATCGTAGGCATTTTCAAGAGATGGTGAATCCAAGACAATCCTAGCACGTGACACGCTAGTTCAGTCTTGGATGGGTCAGAGAAATGGACCAAGCTTCCTAGATATCAAACTTGCCAACGAGGCATATCAGTGCGACAGTAAGAATTCTTTAATCCGAAAAATTTAAGTTGCAATATGCATGTATAAACAGTGTGTGGTACAAAAACACCATGATGAAAATGGACGATAAGATTCAAGAAATTTATTCTATACCATTTTGGTAATATATAACTGACTTAAAAATTCCCATTTTAGGACACTGCAGAACAAATTTTATTTGTCAGAACGGTGGGTTTATTGGACCAAATTGTAACTGTATTTGTCCATATGGGGTCGGCGGGTTCACGTGTGACGAGGTGGCGCCCTCTACGCCAAGTAAGTACTTCACAAAGTGCTACATTTTTGGGGAATTTTATTAACGTTTAGCTTTGATCGATTGACTAAAAAAAATCTTTATTTTTGTTTTTTGTAGATTGTGGAGGAACTTTTCGGAAAGAAAACGGAACGATTCTCTCTCCCAATTACCCTAACGACTATTATAGTAATGCCGAATGCCATTGGTTGATCGAGGTGAGTAGCATACGTTTTTTTTTTTTTAATTCTTCCCTAAAGAAATGTAAAGAACACTTCTATTTTTCCAGATATGTTTTTTGTTTAGATTCGCATTTCTATATTAAGAAAAATTACAATTTTAAACATCCATTTTTTATAGGGTCCATTTGAGTTTTTAAAACTTACTTTTCGTGACTTTCATTCGGAGAACGAGTATGACGTTCTTGACATTCGAGTGTACGGACCAGAAAGGGTCGGACAAATGTAAGTACTGAATTTTTTTTTTCGTCTTCTTTCTGAAGTTGAAAGTTAGTGATTAGATTTGATAGTTTGCCACTCCTGATCCATATTCAATATTTTCTAATTTTAGGATTTCTGGGAATAATGTTGGAGAAAAGATTATCTACTTCAGCAGCAATAAACTACTGCTTCACTTTACCTCGGACCAGAACAGTAACTTCCGAGGATTCCGAATTGATTATTCCAGCATTCATAGCATTGACATTGATCGACATCACTGATGTTCAATTCAGTCACGTGGAATATCTGATCTATGACATATTATGCTCTATTATAATATGAACGCTATTTTATATGATGCTTATATTTTCCAATGAATCTCAAAAAGCATGTGCATTTTGTTAACTTATTTATTTTTTTTACAATTATTTTCTTTGTTGCAATAAAATTACTCACTTAAACTTGTTCTACCTTAATACTTAACATATACATATTTGTATGTATGTAAAAGATCAAGAATTAGAAAACAACCAATGAATGAATTTCATCACTTCACTCTGCTAAACATAGGTAATCAAAGATTACGAAGCTCACGTCGACGAATGATATCTTTCAGTACTTAGCAAATCTCACATCATATTTTTCCTAGTTAGTGTGTATCCCAAGATTAATATCCATGCAAGTTTGGTTTAAGTAGGACTTATAGTTAATTAGAAATGGACCTGCTCCAAAAACTTTTACCTGTTCACTAATCAAGAAAATGTAGGTCAGTTCCAACATTCGAAGCAAGCTTGTAAGTGTCCATCCTTAGAAGCATTATCCATGCAAGCTTAGTCATAACAGGTCATATAATTATAGAGCTACTCCAAAAAAATTATCCTGTTCACTCATCTGGAAAATATAGGTCAAATTCAGCATCCAAAGCAAGTCTTGAAGTGTCCATCCCTAGATACACCATCCATGCTAATTTTGTTAAAGTATGGCTAAAATTCATTCATCTGGAAAATGTAGATCAGATCCAGCATCCAAAGCATGTCTGGTAGTGTCCATCCCTAGATGCATCATCCATGCAAGTTTGGTCCAGGTGGGGCTTATAATTACTTGGGAACGGACCTGCTCCAAAAACTTTAACCTGGTCACTCATCTAGAAAATGTAGGTCAGATCCAGCATCCAAAGCAAGTATGGAAATGTTCATCCCTTGATGCATCATCCATGCAAGTTTGGTCCAGGTAGGGCTTATAGTTACCTGGGAATGGACTTGCTCCAAAAACTTTAACTTCGTCAAGGTGAGCTAAATTGAATATTCTAAAAAAGGTAAACGAGACCTGAAATTGTCATGTTATTTTCACACTTCCAGTATTGAAAACTGTCCAGAAGAAAACCTTTCCCTGATTATAAGCAGAGCAAGCTTGTTCAGTCAAGAAACTATAAAGGTCAAAAAAAGGGAGCATACAAGTTGTAATTTCCGTTTTTTGAGGCAGTGCATCTTGAACAAGTAAATATGTTTCTTATATTTATGACAGGTGTTATTCAATTCATATTTTAAAAAAAAAGATACAACTGTCTTACCATTTAGCAGAGGCATGAGAAGGCACAGGTACTTGTTTCGTATACAGGGCACCCCTACTTATTTTTACCACAAGGTACCTAACTCAATTTCAGGCACCTCCGCTTCAAGCTCGTATTTTGTTTATGTATCAATCATTAACCTACTTTAAAATGACATCGTTCGCTTCGAAAGACTTTTTTCTTGTCAAATTAATCGTTTCGGACATCTCTGGTCGAGCTTCTTTATTGTAAACCACTCATTTCTTCCTAAAAAATTATCTCAATACAAAATAAGACTTCGAATGGGATACATAGACTTCCGGTTGGGTTATAAATGTAGGATAAATCCAGAGACTTACCAGTATTCCTTTCCGAGGTCTCTGGTTTTGTCCTTCATTTATAACCCAACCGGAAGTCTATGTATCCCATTCGAAGTCTTATTTTGCATCGAGATAATTTTCGAGGAAGAAATGAGTGGTTTACAATAAAGAGTCTCGACCAGAGATGTCCGAAGTGATTAATTTGACAAGAAAAAAGTCTTTCGAAGTGAACGATGTCATTTTAAAGTAGGTTAATGATTGATATATAAACAAAATACGAGCTTGAAGCGGGGGTGCCTGAAATTGAGTTAGGTACCTTGTGGTAAAAATAAGTAGGGGTGCCCCGTATACGAAACAAGTGCCTGTGTGAAAAGGATAGAAATATTTAAAAAAAAAAACAAAACTCATTCCTACTCGAAAAAAAACCCAGTTTTTATAACAAAGACAATAAAAACATGTGAAGTCTGGCAAGGAATATCCATACTTATAAATGTCATCTGTCTATAATGTATGATTTATTTTTCTTAAATGAAATATTCATATACATGTTACAGCAGGTGATGGTGTACAGATTTATGATCATTGCTGAAGAATTAGCCGATATCAACTTTGCATATATCCAAACTGCATGTAATATGTAACTGTATGTAATATTTATGTAACTCTGTTATGGTGTTTCTTATTACCATCTACTTTAGATTATGCAACAATTTGTTGCAAAATTGGACATACTTGTACATTTGATTAGAGAATGGGAATCAAATTAGACACTTTTGGATTAAAATATTTACAAAATCCCATTGAAAATATCTGGTTCAAATGCTAGAAAGGAGTTACTGGCATGAAAAAGTTTTAACATTCTTGCACCAAATATACAAAGTTTTCAGTGTACACAGAGTGCTTATCGACAGCCTGATTGATGGGCCAAGGTCTTCTTTCTCCAAGGTAAAATCCAAAGATTAATGATTGTTACATAACTGAAAGACAAACACTCTCCAGGATAGCATGTTGAAATGACCTTGACAGCCAAGGTCATATTACATTCCATTTTTCTTCAAATGCTGAGCAGATCTTGGCACAGGTTAATGCAGCTGACAGGGGGTAACTGCTAATGGAGATTGTGTCCTCTGTGTAGTCAACATCAACCTTGTTGACAATAAGAAAATCAAATAAATTGGGTATCTATCTTACAAGAAAGCGACCTAAATTATTTGCTGAAAATATGGGCCTAAGAATAAAGACTTACTTAGAACAAAACATAAATGAGGAATGACATGTTAATCATGATTTTACTGTATGTCTGACTACTAATCGCTCATACTGAGACAGTTTATTGATAATCTCTCAAATGCTTGCAGAAAAGACCAAGGGTAAGATAAATATAACTTACACTGCCATGTGATAATGCCCCAATTACAACAACAGCAGGTTCTTTTTCAGGAACGATATCCTTTGGGTCTGTGACTTTTTCAACATGAAATGAAGTCCCATATTTCTTGCAACCAAGTGGCAAATGGTCACTGACTGGATTTTTAATCACCTATTTGAAATGAATGAAATATTTACTGTTAGAAACCTGCACACAGTTTTGTAGCTGGCAAAGATTTCAATCAACAAGATATGTACATTTAAAGTATATGAAGAAACAAGATTCAATCTCTTTACTTACTTTTAATAGCTTTTGAGGCCCATCTGCTGCATGTATACTGTACTTGTGTAATAGTTGTACTGTAAAAGAAAATGCAACCATAGATCTTGTAGAAATCATTTCAGAGCAGGGGACACGTGTATACTTCACTGATCAAAACATGTTTATTTCGATGCATAGATACAGGAGACATATTTATATTTGAGTTCTTTACTTCAGATTTTCTTACCCATCAGACCACAGAATCTGTCAAATGTTCGGGGAATTCTTGTCTGGGGGTTTATTTCTATTAGAACATTTTTCTCTGTGTGGACATAAACCTGTAGAAGTCCTGCTCTGTTAAGTGGACTGTCCATCAACATTAACAGACACTGGAAATAAGGAAATGAAATAACCTAATACAATATCAGATGATGACAAACATTATTTCATCATTACAGTAACATTATATGAATACCTATAATCAGGACTAATATCAATAAAATAGAAATCTACATTAAAAACTGAACAAATACAACTTGTTTATCATATGTATCTTTCCATGGATATATTGTGTACATATCTTGCCTTTAAAAATGCTTTCTAACTGCTTATAATAATAGTAATAATTGTATATCCTAAAAGTGGAATTTTTAGCGAGACGCAAATTTAGCGATTTATCCCCAAAAACTGGTATATATTTTCGGCAAGAAGTAATTTTAGCCATTCTACAATGTCAACAAAGATAGCTTTAACAACTGATGCGGAATAAATTGTTAGCGATGTTTAATTTTAGCAATCTCAAAACCCTTGCTAATAATGCCAAAATCAAATCCTCGCTAAAAATTCTGCTTATAGGGTATTATGTGGCAGACAGCAGTATCTAAAAGTATTCAAAAGTATAAGGTGAGTCTGGTCACTGAGATCCATATTCTTGGCTACGTTCTGCACTGTCAGGATCAACTAGGACTCACATGATCTATTCTTGCAGAATCCATGTTGAGCATCCGTTAGTTATCTTCAACCTTTACCATTATGATGAACTTATTCCCACTATGATGAACAAATTCTCAAAAATAACACAAAAGCTACTAACACATGACTAACTGTTATTTATTAAAAATAATTATCTTTACCTGATGGGTTATATCTGGCCGACAGAGAGAAATATCTCGTTTGAACTTCTTTGCCAGTCCCTTGTGTTTGTCACAGTTTAGCAATTCAAACTGCTTTCCAACCTGAAAAAAAAAAAAACAATCTTAATTTTTTTTTGAAAAGGATCTTTTAAAATGATTTTTAATATTTAATTATCTCTAAAACTTGGTTTCTATACGTCTCTGATTTAAGGTAGTATTAACTTAATACTTCTTTAAACCAGAGACGTATAGAAACCAAGTTTTAGAGATAATTCGAACTGTTTTCGTCTGTTTCGAATGTGATGATAGAATATTGGTTACGAAGTATAAATTTGATAAAAAAACATACCTTAACTGATTCTAAAGAAGCCTTTTCAAGAACAACTATCAATCGCTTCTCATTGGTTTGTCTTGGAACACTTTTAATGACTTTGTTTTCATTTTTCTCGTGGTTTATGGGCGCCGCCATTTTAAACGCTAAATAGCTCGTACCTAAAATACTCGCCATTTCAATTGGATTTCTTCTGCATGCATATATTTTAATTTACATTCATTTGTTTTTCTAACTAATTACACCATTCACACAAAAGAAAGTTCAAACAAGTTATTCTATCGACCAGAATTGTTACGTGTTGGTGATGTAAAGACATTAATACATGTGTCTGTGACGTCATGGAATAGTATAACGTCATTTTAAAAAAGCGCATCTCAACGCTAAAACACGGTAAATATTGATCAACAGTCCAGGGGACTTAGCAAAAATATGCACATTGTGAACAACAAAACTATGCCAACTATTCCATAAAGACTGAAGACAGAAATCGTTCAAACATACTGTGTTCCTGGAACAATTTTGTTGTAAGTGCATTTCACACACACACGCAGTATTCACGTTGTTTGTTATATAAAAAAAAGAACCCAATCCCATAAGGTATGATCTTTTTTTTCAAATAAAAATATGTAACTTCAAGTGCCTGTGATTTCACATTGGTTTGTTGGGTGTTATTTGTTTGTAATTACTTTACGTCCCTTCCGTCAATATCATGTTGGGAGACCACCAGTTGTGGACGGAAGACTTCCAATATTTATACCTGTGCTTAGTATTTATAGCCATTGAGCATTAAGGGAATCTTTAAATTCATTGCGACACAGGACCTCGGTTTTTACGGTCTCATCCGAAGAACGAATCTCCATGTCCCGAAGAGGCAACATGGGATTCACGACATTAAGACCCAACTCCTTACTATTGTTCCTTTCTGGAAATTCAGGTTTCAAGTCAAGGCCGTAACTACCCTTGAGGCAAGTGAGGCAAATGCCTCACTAAATTTCTGAAAAGTGAAAAAAATTTACTTTGAACTTTAATTAATTATGTGTGTCTTAGTACTAAATTAATACTTTCAACTTTTTTTTCAATATCGGTAAATCGATCATATCGACAGGTGCCTCATTATCGTTTAGAACTTGATGGATTTAAAAAAAAAAATCAGAACGTTTGTTTTGTTTGATTGTTTAATGTCCCTTCCAAAAATTTTTCACTCATATCAAGTTGAAACGCCACCACTTGCCGGTGGAGGTCTGTAAAATTAAGTGTAAGACCTATACTCGGCACTCGGGGTCATTGAACTGTGTGGAGTCTTTTTTACCTACTGCGACACAGGACCGGTTTTACCGTCTCATTCGAAGAACCGGACTCTACATCCCGCAGTGGGAATTCGAACTCCTTACTCCGAGACTCTAGATCAAACGCTCTAACCACTGCGCCACGCGGGCGACAATTCAAAACGTTAAAACTTTTAAAGATTAAGTTTTTAATTTGCAAATACCCAGGTTTCGGGAACTCCCCCTCCCCCTTAGCAAAATACTGGGATCCACCATTGGGACCTACCCTGGCCCCGCTTGGGACTAGGATGGCCACAGACACCTTGCCTCACTAAAAATTTGAGCCTAGTTACGGCCTTGCAAGTACGCTTGAAATAAAATGAATATTTACATACACCGTTTATATATGTATGTAGGAACTTTGGATGGAGTCGCACCAGAAGCAAAGCTCAAAAGATACACGCCTTGTTTCAGTACCTTCCATCAGGTAAGAAATAGAAAATATGGTTCTTAACCAGTTTCTTCTCGCGATTAATGCCTTGAATATCCTCATAATGACTGCAATCTAGTTGTATGATTCTACCTGTTGCTTACGATGATTAGAAATCCAGAGTCAAAGCATCAAAGAACCAAAGACATTTCCAGTCTATTCCTGGCACCAGCTTTCAGGTACATATAAGAAACAACGATATTCTCTTTAATTTCACTTCATTAAATTTAAAACGGAATAAAAACAATTCAGCTTTATAATAAAAACAGAATTCAGCTTTAGTTATTCCTTAGATATTATTGACCAAGTGCACCGGAAAGATTTGGACTTTACAAATAGGGTAATTCAATTCTATTTGCTCAAATTTAGAATGAAAAAAAAAAAGAATTAAAAGATACATATATAAAAACTAAAAAGTTGATATTATGCATAACCTGGCATGTAGAGAAGTGTTGATTTGATAATACTTAAACCATGATATCTTTGTTCTATCACAATGCTGCTTTCGTATGCTGTGGAAATTTGATAAATGTACTGTTATACTCTGTTAGGATCCCCAGCAGTAAGACTCATAACGACAATGAATTAAGAAATGAATGCAATATTTTTTTCGTTGACCGAAGTATCAAACAAAAATTTGGACGGAAAACGTCATCAATGCGCGTAGCGCATTGATGAAAACGTTTTCCGTCCAAATTTTTGTTTGATACTTCGGTCAAAGATAAAAAATATTAATTTCATTTCTTATCATTTAATTATGATTTTAGAATAATAGAATGAAACTTTCTTTCACTTTAATATTTAATTTACGTATCGAAGACAGTGCGTAGGAATACATCACAACAATGTTGCTGAAATTCAAAATGGCTGAATGTACAGATCTATGCGCATTGAATTGATGAAATTTACATATAAGCTTTCTATGATACATCGATGAAAGAAAAAATTATAAGATTTATTTCTTATCATTTAATATTTATCTTTCAATGATGAGATTTAACTTGAGAACGATCGAATGACTGTCCAACATATAGGCCTAGCTTAGTTGTCTAAATTTTCAGACGCCGAGTATAACGAACAAACAACGTTTTCAAATATTGTCGTGTCATTACTATTATTCTAACAAAAACAGTTTTAACACAAAAACTTACCTGTTGTATTAATTTTTGCTATATCCCAATGTTTATATTCCCCCAGTAAGCTGATATCTTTACGTTCGTAAATGTAAAGGGAAGCTACTCAAATATAACCTTAACAACTCTTTCTAGGTCACAGAAATTTTCGGTTTCATTTGCGCATCTCTTCATCTGAATTTCAAATCGAACATATATATACGTATCACAACATGTCCAGGCATAAAACAACATGCTTCAAAATCTGGAAGAGTCTGTTGCCGACTGTTTAACTTTGAAAGAATATCCGTCCTCGCTCAGCGTCGTTTTTCTCATGCATTCGTTTCCTATAAGAATTAACAGACTAACGGCATTTCCCCGCTTTGGTAGCATAAAAACATTTCTTCACAGTTCTATTGTTCATACCAGTTATCTCAAACACAAACATTTAACAAACGTATGATGACTTCTTTCCTTTTTTCCCGCAACTGCATTTATTTGCAGACGATCTGATTTGTTTAGCAAAGGGGGATAATTCGAAAAGAAACGAAAGTAGAAAATAACTCAGGAACGTAACGGACGAATTTTGAAATTCAGGAAAATAGAGTAAAAGAATTTCATTTTTCTTTCACAAAGTAATATGGAAGCGGGAAATATACATGTAAAGTCAGCCAAAGTAGTTCCGGCTGCTAAGTGCAAGTGAACTCCAGATTTTATTGATGCAGTTATCAAAAGAATTTTTTATCCAATCAGAATCAATTATTTTATAGAAATTAAATGATATAGCTGTACTCATGAAATCCCCCACTCCATATTCCAGGTAGATTATATAGTTATTTTATGACGATAATGGAAATTGGACACAAAAGGAAGAAAACTAGAATTTAGATATACTGTATTTGTTCCATCTCTGCAATGCATTAGTTCTAAACTTTCATAGACTTTACATTGGGGATGGGGGTATATTTTCTATCAATTTCTGATTCCTGAGTACGAAATGTATAACAGGACGCAGGGAATTGAGGAAGAAAGGTTTGTCTACGACACACTTAACTATAGCCTCCAAGATGACAAGTATGACAAGCAGAACTTAGGAACTTCTGATTCAGGGTTTGTAGCGTTTGATTACTTACATGACACATATCCGAGTTTTTCTGTTTTTTAAGAGAGAAATTTAAATAAAAATGAAATCATTTTGTTCCAGGTATCCAGTAAGAATGTGTGAAGGTTCATATTTCATTTTCAACCAAAGCAAGGATATGACAAAAGCAACACAACATGGGTAAATGTTTTATTATGATCATTTTTTCACAATTTAAAGAGTAATGGATGATATGCCTTATTTACTATGTACACAGGCACTTGTATTGGGAGAACGAGTCGGTACCTTCCTGTTACATGACAACAAACAGACCCTCAAAGAAAACAAATCTACTGAAGAGATTCTCTGACGGGATTGCAAGGAGAAAGAAGAAGAATGTATATCAGTTATGACGAGCTTATAGTGATAACGTTTATCACATACATGTGTATATATGTGCTTATTATATTAATATATTCCTATATTTTTGTAAATACTAATTAGCAAAAGAAGTCATTGATGAATCATTACAAAAAATTAAATATCGCTCAAAAAATCAGAATTCAATAAAGCACAAAAACAACAATATACATGTAATTTAAATTGCTTTATTATGCACTACAACATGCTAAACACTAAAAATGTACTTGGACAGAAAACTTTTTTCTTTATCTCATTATGAGAAATCCATTCTACAAAAATCATAACACAGATAAAAAATTATAAGCATAATGTTCGCAAGACGATGCAGCATTAAACAGTCTTTACCAACATCACCATGACGACAGAATGGTGAAAGTCTTCTTGTCTCTGGAGCTCTATACATCTGATGATTCACAATATCTCGTAATGAGACGTATCAATGATGCAATAGCAACATAAAGGGTCCACAAAGTGTCATATATTAAGAGGGAACCGGTATGAAGTGCTATATTTGCAGTGGGTGGTACAGTCTGGCTATTCATGCCGAAGTCAATATTGGCAATAGCTGATACAGTCTGAGTACACATTCGTGCTGAGGCCATTACTGGCAGTTGCTGATACGATGTGAGCGGTAATTCGTGCTGAGGCCATTATTGGCGGTTGCTGATACGGTGTGAGCGGTTATTCGTGCTGAGGCCATTATTGGCGGTTGCTGATACGGTGTGAGTGGTTATTCGTGCTGAGGCCATTATTGGCGGTTGCTGATACGGTGTGAGTGGTTATTCGTGCTGAGGCCACTATTGGCAGTAGCTGATACGATGCGAGTGATTATTCGTGCTGAGGTCAATATTAGCAGTAGCTGATACAGTCTGAGTGGTTATTCATATTGAGACCACTATCGGCAGTAGCGAATCCAATATGGGTGGTTATTCGTGCTTAGACCATTATTGGCAGTAGCTGATACGATGTGAGTGGTTATTCGTACTGAACTATTGGCAGTAGCTGATACGATGTGAGTGGTTATTCGTACTGAGGCCATTATTGGCAGTTGCTGATACAATGTGAGTGGTTACTCATGCTCAGGCCACTATTGGCAGTTGCCGAAATCACTATATATAGGCAGTTGCTGGTTCAACTCGAGAGGTTATTTGTGCGGCGCACTATTTGAAGTCGCTGTTATAATCTGATTGGTTATTTATTATGAGGCTATCACTTGTCGTAGCTGATACTTCCGTGCTGAGATCACTACTAACAGATGCTGTTACAATCCTAGTGGTTATTTATTCTGAGTTTTTTTATGCAGCTGGTGGAACATGGAATTTTACAGGTTTTGGTTTTGCATCAGTTTTGGGTTCTTTAGAAAGAAAATAAACATAACATTCATTTAATTTCTTATCAGTTAATTAAAAATATTTTTCATGAAAGAAAAGTTAAAATAAAATTTCGGTTTTAGTTATTTTGCACCAAAACATATTCCTTTAATTACTTAATTTTTTGTCCATTACAGTTTCCCTTCTTTACTTGACAGATTGTCAAAGTTGTTATAGATCTACCACTGTTTAATGATTGGATTTAACAAATTTTGTTCTATGGTGTCAAGTATGTAAAAGTACCTTTGTCTTTAGAGGAAATCAATCCATAAGCCCACTGTACAGATAAGAAAAGTAGATGCATTGCCACAATCATGATTGTCTTCCTTCCTAAAATTGGCTTTTAGCAACAATATAGTGTTAGTTATTGATTGTGACGTCACAAACAATTGAACGTCATAATATGCATGTCTATCTACAGGAGTCTTTTTGGGCAGAACTAATCAATCCGGATTGACTTATTCACAAAATCTTAATTATTAATCCAGGTTAACACATGGAATTGAATGTTGGAGGGTTACAAAGCCTGACATGAGATCTTTGTCCAGTTTCCACCACAGCTGTCTCCGTCAAATCTTTAATTTTTTTTTTGGGCCAAATGCTATATCGAATGTTGACCTACTGAAAATGACAAACTCATAGTGTATCATCGATGAGTTAAAACAAAGGAGATTAAGATGACTAGGACATGTCCTAGAATGGAAGGATCAAGAATTCCAAAAGTCGTCCTAAAATGGACATCACCAGGAAAAAGACCAAGGGGAAGACCAGTAACCATCTAGCGCAAGACAGTCGAGGGCGAACTGAGAGACCTTCACCTGACTTGGGGAGAGGCAGAGACCATTCACATTTCCTGAGTTATTCTTATTTAACTTTTTAATGTGGGCCAGTCCTTAATGTAATGACTCATGATTTTTTTTAAAACTAAAAATACCAACATGTACATTATAAATCTCAAAGGTGTAACAAAAATGCCATTTCTTTCATTTGCAAATTGCTATACAGGTAAACAATTGTCTGACAATTGTCAGAGATTTATAAAACAATGCTTGTTAATTGTAAAACATTTAACCTGTCTACGAAATACTAATAAGTAAAATTTGTCTTTATCATATGCAAGGAGTCATTGAAGTTCTGTATGAATTGAATAACCGCACTTGATCAGGGTTATAAACTTCAGTTGAGACCAAGAATACGCCGAACTGTTTCAAAATAATTGCTGTTCAATACGGATAATAATAATTCGAATTTATAATACATATAACTTAAGGCATGAGCGGCGGAGCTAAGGACCCCCCCCCCCCCCCCCCGTACTAGTATTTGGTCAACATTTTGTCACATTGTTACATTATTTGACATACCTGTAATAGTTTAATAAATAAAAATACTAAAACCAAAGGGCTTAGTGTGAATGTATGTCCCTAGTATTGAAGGTTATGACTATCTGTCTCTTTATTTGTCGAACATAAGTTTTGTCCTTGCTCCTAAGATTTTATACTCGGCACTAGGGCAGCATATGATCGAGGTTGCCAAGATCCACAATATCAATAGGATTTTTTTTTTTTTTTTTTTACATCTTTTTCTCTCGTATTTATGAATCACGAATGCCTTTGAGTGGCATCCAGTTGTAATCGAGACAATTCTGAACTTCGCTCTTTTTAAAAGACCATGGTTCAGAGTACAAACACATCCTCTAATCATAAACTACCCTTATCCAATTCGGGCGAATTCACCGGTAGGGGACTTATAAGAAATCTTTGGTTATACAACAATAAAACAACTTTTTCATGTCAAAAAAATATTTTATTCATTGTATGAATTTGTTTCACAAATCATTGATTATAAAAATACACGCAAACACATGACAAAATGAAATCATTGTTTAAAATAGGCTTTAAATCATAAAAAGAGGCCCATGGGCCTTAATTGTCACCTGAGTACCATGGGTTTTTCAGTTTAGGACCACTTTGGGCCCAACTGGAACTGGCTTAGTATTACATCACATATACATTTTGCAGTTTGACGAGAATTCTTTAATCATCAACAAATTCATGCAGCTTGTCTCCTATAAATTCATGAGTAAATGCATCTTCGCTAGCCAAAGGTTTCTGATACGCTACTCTCCTCATAAACCCTTGGCATACGGTGCTGACAAAAGACGGGATTGTTTTCGTCACGTGATCACGATTCTTACCAGGTTCGCACAGATTGCGTCATCGACAGAAATAAAAAGCGTATTTAAAAATATAATGTTTTTAAAGAATAATTAACAAGAAGGTATTGAATTATGTTAATTTGTTATTTAAACATGTTAAAATGCAAATCTACATCTTCAGTATAGATTCTTAATCACATATTTTGCACGTAGCTTAAGATATTGGATGACACCATATAACTATTCATAGAATGGCATGTTATCTTACGGATCGTTGTTTGCTTGCGTTTTTCATTCCCGATATTAAAGAGTCAAGATATATCCCGAACGCAAATATCGTCATTTACAAAAACAATTTCTGATTGGTCGAATGATGTCGATCAACTCCAATCACAACTCGTGAAAAAAATCCCAACTTTTTTTAACACCGTATGCCAAGGGCTTATGAGGAGAGAAGCGTATCAGAAACCCTTGGCTAGCGAAGATGGAGTAAATGAAATGAGGAACATTGTAAAACAAATTTCAATATACGACCCCCTCCTCATGCAAAAAATGCCTACATAAATCCCCAATTATGGCCTCAACCTCCCTCAGGACCATGTTTGCAAGAAACCTGAATATGCATTACCTGAGGATGCTGGCATATCATGACTCTGCTGTTCTGAAGAAGTTGAATTTTAAAGATTTTCCCTATATTCCAATGTAAATATTTCATCCCTTATTGTGGCCCCAACCCATCCTCAGGGGATATAATTTTAACAAACATGAGTCTGTACTACCCAAAGATGCTTCCATATTAAGTATACTATAAAAAAGCTCTGCTGTTCTTGAGAAGAAGATTTTTTAAGATTTTCTATACATTTTCATGTAAACTCTGAGTCCTTTTCTGTGGCCCCACCCTACCCCTGGAGACCATGATTTGAACAAACTTGAACCTACACTATGTCGGAAGCTTCAAATTAGTTTCAACTCTTCTTGCTCAGTGGTTCTTGAGAAGGAGTTTTTAAATGACACCTCCTTATTTTCACCTTTTCCTGATTACCTCCCCTTGGAAAAGGGCACTGCCCTTCGTTTAAATAAACTTGAATCCCCTTTACCCAAGGGTACTTTGCGGCAAGTTTGATTGAAATTGGCCAAATGGGTCTTGAGAAGTAGTCTCACGACGCATGACGACGGACGAAAACAGATAGCAATTGGACGCCTAAGTCACTAATGTGACCTAAACAATTTGATAATTCTATCCTTTGAAGAAACACAGAAAACTTGGAAATCATCCGTAGTATACCGGGTATTAATATAGCAGTGATCAATTTTTATACAACACCGGTTAATTAAGACAGCTAACAGCATGATGAATGAAAAAAGAAAGATATGTACTGAAAAGACACAGTTTATGTAAAGTCTCCACAGAACAAGTAAAAAAAGTTAAATAAAAATATAGCACTCATTATTTTCTACATGATTAAAACATACAAGTCTAGTTGATGAAACATTTTTGTCAACATAGTACCAACATGGGTATGGCATTTCAAAAACGTCTTCCCCCGGAGTTGATATGTTCTTTTTACCCCCCCCCCCTTTTCTCTCCCGTGTTGTGTTACAGTTTTATCGTTATGGTTGAGCTGCCTGAGGTGGTGTCTCATTCTCCTTACTCGGTGGTTCCGTCCCGCCGTATACTGCAGCGATACAGAAAAAGGTGCATAAGGTCATGCTACACTCCAACATGATATATAAATACCGATACAAAGTTCTATGATTATATTGATTCGTTGACTTGTATTTACAAATTGCTAATTATAAGGGTTTCAAGATGGTTGTAAAAGATTACAGGTACACAGAAAGAATCAATAATGACACACATGAATATGTTAGCTCATTTTCACAATGCAAAATCAAAAAGACAGGAAAATAATTAGATAAAATAAGAATATATTGCTACAATTATAAAATACATGTATTCGATTTAATAGGTTATAGTCTTTACATATACATATAGATAGTCATTGTACATGTAGATGATTACTTAGCGGAGAGGGCTACATTATTGCAGCTAATGATTACTGAGTACATATATTTGTTTCACGAAAGTTTTTTGAGGCACCTGCAGCTGTCCTAATTTTGGAATAATATTCACCAAGAAGTTAAATGTACACCCGGTTAAGCAATCGTGTGCTGCCAATACCAGGGTTACGTACTTTTCACCTTGACATTTGACCTACTTTAAAAACGTGATATTTTTCTCTTGCATCGCAAGAGCAAATAGACCCAGTTACATTGAATATTATGAATGAACTTGTATCTCAACAATTCAATTTTTTTTTAAAGGAAAATTGTTTTCGGAATCTTTTTTTCCTGGTGGATATAGATTTCAGCAATCAAACGTGTTTCTATACATAAGCAAACTTTTAGAAAATACTAGAGTTACTGAAAACCTCATATCCTTTATTTTTTTATCTGTTGGAGAAAAACTGTCTATGTATTGTATATTGTGACACTAATAGATCTATGTTGACTTTTATATTTTTCATGTTAATTATTCTCTAAAAGACCATTAGAGTTTAATGAATACTTGTGACCTTGGTCTTCATTATGAACCTCATGTGTCTATTCTAGTATGAAACGAAGTTGAAGCATTAATTTGACCTTCTTTTCAATTCAATGCCATGGGCGGATACAGGATTTGTGATTGGGGGGGGGGCGTGGATAACTTTGTTCAAGCAGGGGGTCTGGGGGCCGCCTTAAGGCCCCCAGTGGGTCCAGGGCGAAGCCCTGATGGAGGCCCAGGGGGCGAAGCCCCCGGAAGCTCCTGGGTTTTCGTGAATTTTAAGAGTAAAACCAGGCACAAAAATAATGGTATTGATTAGTTATGTACACTATGATATTTCACTTTATAAAAGAAAAACACACACACACACAAACCAAAAAAACAAGATATGTGTGTTGGGTAACTTCGACCGCACACGAGGTATTTTCGATCGATGCGCAAATATAAACGAAATTATTCGCATCATCTCTAATTAAAAAAAAAATATATATATTAATTTAAATTATTCTGTTGTACAACTTAAAAGATTGTGAAAAAATGCTGACAAAAAAAGTAATTTTCAAAATGTACCTAATTTGAAGACATTAAGTGCACCAGGTCATGGTGCCTATAGAGACTGATTTACCGATTTGTCAAGGCATGCTACAAATGTATATACATATGTATATGCGCAGGCATCTAAACCGCATGTAAACAGAGCAGATGATTTTTCTTCACTGTTATAGAACTAGTTTCTACGGAGTATTCTTGTACATAATACTTATCCTAATAATTTTTTTTATACGGACGATGGTCATGATTTTTTTTTTTCTGGTAACAAATAGCAATGCGTCATTTTCATTGGTCGAACTGAGTTACCCGCTGACGCCGTATTCATGCATGGGTAACTTCGGCCGATTTCTGTTCAGCTGATTTGCATTTTATTTGTAAAAACTAAATACTATACATTAAAAAGGTATGAATTTAAGTTGCAAAATTAAACACAGTTGATAAATTTCACGCCAGGAATATCCACTGTGTCTTTCTATATAGACAAGATATTTTCAGAGGTGATAAACTGAAAATTCCCCGCAATGGTTTAAAAATACTCGTCCGTAATTTTTCGGGCGATAAAGTTTCTTCTTGGATGTAATTTTCCAATGAAGAAATAAATTTCGCCTATTATTATCGACATTGATTTGTATATAAAAAATGCATTTTCTTTCTGCATAAAATAGATGTGTGTACACTATAATGGGTTATAAACAAATTATTTTAAGGTATTTATGAACTGCATAGTTACACCATTTGATAAATATAGGATCTCCCATGATTTGTAGTTGGATATGATTTTTATCCAACGAGTTGTGTGTTATTTATCTCCGAGCCTTGGCGAGGGGATAAAAAACACACAACGAGTTGGATAAAAGTCATATCCAACTACAAATCATGGGAGATTCTTTTTATCCCATGTTTAATACTTCACAACCAATGTTTTACACTGTTTTATATAGGACTCCACTTTATTTTACTTCATCACGCTAACGCAAAAACCATTGTGACGTCACAACTGTGGGTTATGAAAAATTTATCCAATGAGTCATATCCACGGGATAAAGGGGTAAACATGGGATAAATAAATACATCAATCAGTGGACGGGTTTGTAACGTAGACCGCCTGATTTTAAAATTCATTTTTTTACCTTCGACCAGCCTTTAAATATTGCAGTATTTTTCCTTGCATCATGATAGGAAATTGATAAGTGCAGTCTACAATGGAAGGGAATTACCGCCAAAAGTCTATTTATCTTGCTTTTATTCTTATTCTGCTTACTTCTTTATTCTTTGTTATTATTGTAACTATATGTCACTTCATTGTTTTCATATTCGTCTTTATCATGTTTATCACATTTCACTTTGAACTTTTTTCATTCTTCATTTTGTCCTAATACTTCTATGTTGCTTTATTCTTGTAAATTCGTTCTTCTTTCTTTTAAATTGATACAATTTCTTTAATAAACAATTATGATTATCTCTATTACAAATGTAAATTCAGTCACGCAAACCATGAAGCGCATTCAGCGAAGACGAATACAAGTAGTGTAAATTTAACGCGGCATTATAACGCTAGGTGGCAGGGTGTTCGCTGCGAGTGTTGGTAAAATTAGGTACGCAAACCCGGGCCGAGGTTATTCGAGATTTTTCAATTTTCTGCCTTAATACTTTATCAATCGAACCCAAATTTTCAAGTTATGTTAGTTATAGGTTTATTTGTATTCGCGGTAAAATTGCCCCGAAATGCTCAATATTTTAGATTTTATCAAAGATATTTGATTTCCAAGTTGGTAAAATGGGAAGGTAGTATCAAACTGACATTTTTAGGTGTGTGTGTGTGTGTGTGTGTGTGAGAGTGTGTGTGTGTGTGTGTGAGGGTGTGTGTGAGGGTGTGTGAGGGTGTGTGTGTGTGTTTTGTTTTGTTTTTTTGACAAAAAGCTAATAAATTTATAAATTATTCTGATGTTAAACATTATATTTTAACTATTCATAAGCATTTCTTCTTTCAAATGTGCTTTTGTTGCTTTAAATAACACGTTTTAAGAAAATCTGGGTCATTAAAACCGGACCAATGATGGAAACTCCGAAATAATTGTGTATTTTCTGTCACCTGAAAAATATAACTCTATTAAGTTATTTGTTGGATGATTGAATTTCAGTTTTATTGATATAAAAAATATTAAATATTTTGATAATTACTAGTATACCCTTATAAATTGAGTTGTTTTTCAGGACCCCTATATATTCTTCCACTGAACTCACATTTCTTTATTTCAGGATAATAATTGTTCATGCGCACTCGCGTGATTCTGGGGACCGGGGCTAGTCTGGTTTTGGCCAACCCAAAATGCTCTGCAAAGTAGTGCGGAACGTCATGGGTAGGCGTGGCCGGAACCAGGCTAGACCGGGGCATACTAGAAACTTCCTCCGGTTTTATGAAAATCTGTATTAATTTTTTGTACAGAAATAGCACTTTTCAATAAAGAAATAAATATCTCTAGTAAGCACACAGTGTTTGACATCAGAATAACTCAGAAAATCATTTTGTCAATGTCTCGTTTGGCAAAAAATACGTAAAATGTCGGCTTGATATTGCCTACCCATATTAGCAAATTGGAAATCAAAAATCGCCAAAAATAATCTAAAATATTGAGATTTTCAAAATATAAATACATGAATATAAATATTGGCAATTTTTACAGCGATTACAGATAAAACCTAGAGACGTAGCATTGTTTTTGAAAGGGGCAGCCAGAGAAAAAAAACACTTACCTTAAAATCTTGACAAGCAAAAAAAAAAAAAAGGAAAGAGGAAACTTCGTCAAACTCGAAAATTCTATTTGGGGGGAGGGGGGTCCAACTTCTTTCAGTACCAAATTTTACTCATACATCACCACGTACATGGCCCTTATTTGACTAGACTGCAACAAAAAGTGGGAGGGAGCAACCAGACTTTCATTGAACATTTTCAGTAGTTATGGCTAGAAAAATGTTTGGTGGCCAGCCCCTCCCCTCCCCCCTGCTACCGGTGTCATATAGTGAGACTTCCCCCATAGTGAGTCCCCTCCCCCCCGGAAGTCTGGTTATATAGTGAGACTTCCCCTCAGGGGGGGGGGGGTCAATGGCTATATAGTGAGACTTCTCCTTCCGTGTTTGGTTTGGATTTGATTTACATCGAAGATGTATATATTGCATATTAGGTTGTGATCTTATATATCAAACAAAAATAAAGATGTATAGTTTCAAACGAATCAATATAAAAGTGCGCATTAAATTTATCGTGCACAGCAGATTATTATATTGTTCAGAGACGATTCTTATCAAAAGAAAAAAGACATATAAATAATTAGTTTAACAGTGAAGAGGTCATTACCCGTAGAAACATGCAGTTTACCTATGTTTACCTGCATGTTTAAGATGTTTTAATTATAATTAAAAATCACTATTAAAATGCTTTAATTATTTATTCATATATTTATTCATTCATTCATATAGGACGGAGAACTTTTATCCGAACTCTGAAAACGTTAGACTAGTATAAAAACATTGTTTTACAATAAAAAAGATATTCGGAAACTAAATTAAAGAGGGAAGTTTCGCTATGAGGGAGATAAGACTAACTATATAGTGAGAATTTCCCCCGGAAGACTGGCTATATAGTGAGACTTCCCCTGGAGAAGTCTCACTATATAGCTAGTCTTCCGGGGGAAGTCTTACTGTACCATCTAGCCAGCCTTCAGGGGGAACGATACGGGGTACATACCTGAACCTATAACATACATCATTAAATTTGGGTTCGATTGATAAAGTATTAAGGCAGAAAATTGAAAAATCACGAATAACCCCGGCCCGGGTTTGCGTACCTAATTTTACCAACACTCGCAGCGAACACCCTGCCACCTAGCGTTATAATGCCGCATTAAATTCACAATACTTGTTTTCGTCTTCGCTGAATGCGCTTCATGGTTTGTGTGACTGAATCTACATTTGTAATAGAGATAATCATAATTATTTATTAAAGAAACTGTATCAATTTAAAAGAAAAAAGAACGAATTTACAAGAATAAAGCAACATAGAAGTAAGGACAAAATGAAGAATGAAAAAAGTTCAAATAAAATGTAATGAAGACGAATATGAAAACAATAAAGTGACATATAGTTACAATAATAACAAAGAATAAAGAAGTAGGCAGAATAAGAATAAAAGCAAGATAAATAGACTTTTGGCGGTAATCCCCTTCCATAGTCTACCCTTCAAACGAAATCGGGAGACGTTTTCCGGTTTGAATAATTATGAAATAATATTCATAGCCTAGGGAATGCAAGGTTTTCAGACTTGATTTTTAAGAAAACCGATACTATGTCATTAAATAAGATAACCATTTTTTAATTGACCAATAATTATAAAACCAAAGTATGGCAATTAATATTAGTCATGTCATACTTTGAAAATTTTAGGGGGGGCGTGCGCCCCCCACGCCCCCCCCCCCCTTAAATCCGCCAGTGAATGCTATAATTAATTATTAATTGATTCAATTGTGTAAAAAAAAGCTGCTAATGTTGTGCTCTTAGGACACTCGTTTATAACATCTATGAACAAAAGTATTTGGTACAAAAACATCTCCTGATACATCGGTTTGGTTTGAGCAAAAGTATATTTGGCTCATTCAATCAGCTGAACGGACAAAAAAAATGACTTTAAACTTCCGGTCACGGATAATTCTAAATATCATATAAAAAATAAGGAAGATTAACTTAATCGTTAGAGAGCCAGGGTATTTGATTACAGTGATTCATGCATATTAGTATAACCGACACCATTAATGGGAAACTAAGAACACCATCAGCCGCACCAAACATAAATATATATACACATCTATAGATCTAAATAAACAAACCCATTAACTGCTGTCATCAATGGCATTATAGGTAGTAGGGTGAGAGTTGATGTGAAGATTGCTGCGGCCCCCGTACACTTCAGAAGCAGAATAAATTGTTTTAAAAACTAAATTCAGTAATGTCTACTTGTAAGTAAATTGCTTTAATCTGTGGTAATGGTATATTACTAAAACGAGCATTTGAAAAGCGTTGCGAATAAATACATGTCCCTACTGACCCCAACTATGAACATTTAAACAAAGAAATGTTAAAAAAACGACAACAACGGCAAAAAAAAAAACAAAAAAAAAACAAAACAAACATTTTTACAAAAGTACTTTTGTTCAAGATTCCTCCAATAGTTGGTTTGTTTTACACAAATATTGGCCGCAAAGGAGATAAATTTTGGATAAAAGGTCCTTAACCTTGGTTTCAGAGTTTCTTTAGCAGTTCAAAAGGTATATGTATATTATTCGTAAAACTTGTGTAGAAAGGAAGTTGACTTCCATTTCCGTACACTTATGCACGATATTCTACCTTTGTCGAACCCTGTTGGTCGAGTTGCCATGATATTGTATAACAAATGTGACAGAGTAGCAGATATATCCGTGATCACAGAACGGACAGACAAACCAAATACTGTCTCTGTGCACAACCCAGTACAATAATACTCCATATTTACAGTACTTTCTTTCGTTTGTAATGGATTTATTGTACAGAGAGGCGTGGCAGTCGAGTCGCGCAGCGACGAGACTGTCACGCCTCTCTGTACAATAAATTCCTTACAAACGAAAGAAAGTGTCTGTAAATGTCTTGTGTCATGGTCATTAGCATAGTCACTCCTTCAGCACCAAACTGCTCGCGACATTACGTCATAAGCCTAGGTCCATCGTAAGCACGTACACCGGGGTGTTCAAACAAAGCAGAAAGTACGAAAGAGATGGTTGCATTGAAAAATCAAGCAATGTTAAACGAGTGTGCAATTGTATTTGATGGGTTAATTTAAGCAGTATGAGTATTTCAAAAACCATTACAAATACAGGCACAATACTGGAAACCTGGATCCGCCTGCACTATGACCCTCTACATTACTGTTGATATGGATACGCCTGCATGTCCTGAGGAAATCCGAGTCAAGTACTCTAGCCACAGGTATCAAAATTATGGAATGTAGTGTGAAATAGTCCAAATACATGTATATACGAACATGTATCAGTTTGAATGTAACTCAAAGACCTCAGAAAACAGTTGCTATTAAGGGAATCAAACTGTGCGTTTTCAATATTGTTAGATTTCAGTTATCTGTTTTAATTTGAATACATGTATTTCGTGAAATTCTGTGTATTTTTAAAATTTTTGTTTAAATTAGTTAACTAATGACTTTACATGTATTAATCCTCTTGAAAATGGTTTTCACGTATATGCATTTTCAGATTGAAGAGGGGGGGGGGGGGGGTGTTGAATTATGTGAGGTTTCTCATTTTTCCTCTGGATAGTTTTATATGCTTACAGAAATTGAAGAAAAAATATTCAAAAAGTATTGAGTTCTTTTGGAAGTTATTGTACAGTATATTGGAAGTTATTGTACGGCTAAGCTCCGCCCCCTAGAAGTTATAGTACGTTGGAATTCAGCCAGAGGTTTTCTATCTGATTTAAAGTATGGCTAACATCAAAAGAAAAAGTACCGCACCATGCACAAAGTCTGGTTTATATATGGAGCTACGATGTACACAGAGATGGAGAGGGAGGGAAATGCTAATCATATAGTTCTTCGTGGTTCACTGTTGACGGAACGGAAAAACTATACCTTTTAAATTATCCGCAGGGGATCAACAAATTAAAAGAAAAAAAATATTTTCCTTCAAAACGAAATCATTTCCTACCTTTGTATTTTAGTCCATAACCAAAATTCAGGACTGCTTTTACAAAATATATCGCCATCAACACTCGAATTAACAGAGCTAATCCTGCGGATGTGAATGTTGTTCCTGAGAGGGCAGCGTTTTGTCGTGTTGGGACCTCTAGGGTCGTCCCGTTTTGAAATTGTGTAGTTGAAGTTTTCGCCAAATCGTCAGCAGACTGTATGGAAAATAATAAAGCAAACTCAAATACCGAATTACGTGCTTTTATAAATTTTGAAGAAAATATAGAAATATAAAACAACATTTAAAATATATATACTCATGTACAGAATATTATTTTTCAGGGTCTGTGATGACAAAAATGCTATCACAATCGCTCACCAGAGGACGCGCTCTGGAGAGAGAGATTGATGTCATCTACGTTCATTTTACCTCGTACACTTTGAATATTATGTAGGCTGGTGCCAGAAACAGCGATACTGCATAAACAATGCCTAGCGTTTTGTTTTCCCATCGAACCTAAATAAAAAGTACGTAAATTAGCACCATAAATTTTAATTTGCTTTCAAAAAAAGTCTGCTGCATGGACGTAATCTGCTTACGCTGAGATAACCCAGAGCAAAACACGCGATAGTGACCGGAACTCCGACAGATATGATGACGATGTCCTCTGTGTCCACTTTAGTCCCTGACTGAAGAATCAACAGCACCATTGTCACCTTCATTAGCAAATATATAAATTATTGTACTTTGACAATAATGCAGGACTTGAGAAGTCACAATAGCTTCCATACAAAGACTCGAGAAATTAAAAAAAATGCAAAAGGAAAATAAAGCAATTATCATGATTAAGATATGAACCTAATTATAACTTGGGAAATGCCTGTGTGTATAGATAAAAACATTATTAGGGTTTAAGATTATTATTCTAATTATTTGAACATGTTGAATGATGTGTCCTCACATGACTTAATAATTGCCTGTCATCTTACATTTAATTGTAGATCAAACTTCTGCAAACCCAGGAACAAAAAGAGATTTTTACAGAATCCTTGAAGAGTTGAATCAGCACCAACCATCCGGAAAATCAGTCTGCCGGAATCGTGGTACTCTTTGGCGATAATAAACCCCATAACAACGATGATAGGACTCAAAATACACACGAGTACCAATCTAGCCTACAATAAATGATCAAGGGTCATTATAATAAATAATTCCATTTCATAACCTTCAAACAATGAATTTTCTCAATTTTCCCCATATAATATAAAGCTATATGATAAACTTTCTATTTTTTTTTTCTTTTAGAATACCGTCAACATTAGAGAGAATTCCTATTCAGGACCGTTGTTCTTCCTTGAGAGATTTTCTTTCATTTGTAACAGACTCGTGTGTTGAAGTCTTCTCTGCATTTCATCCAGAGATACAGATACTTTTTATGCCCCCGGATCGAAAGATCCCGGGGGTATATTGTTTTTGTCCTCTCTGTCTGTTTGTCTGTCAGTCTGTTGTCAACTTTAACCTTGCCCATAACTTTTGATTGGTTGGAGCTATGACTTTCATATTTCACATGTGTATTCCTTGTGACAAGATCTTTCTTTGGGTACCATCATATTTGACCTTTTGACCTTGACCTTGGAGTTTGATCCACTTTTGCAAAATTTTATGAGACTTTAACCTTGGCCATAACTTCTGAACAGTTGGTGCTTGGGGTTTCAAACTTCACATGTGTATTTTTTGTGACAAGGCCTTCCTTTGGATACCAACAACTTTGACCTTTTGACCTTGGAGTTTGACCTACTTTTGAAAAACTTCAACCTTGGCCATAACTTTTGAACAGTTGGTGCTTGGGGTTTCAAACTTCACATGTGTATTCCTTGTGACAAGACCTTCCTCTGGATATCAACCTCTTTGACCCTTTGACCTTGACCTAGGAGTTTGACCTACTTTTGAAAAACTTTAACCTTGGCCATAACTTTTGAACGGTTAGAGCTAGTGCTTTCATACTTCACATATGTAATCCTTGTGACAAGACCTTCCTTTGAATACCAACCACTTTGACCCTTTGGCCTTGACCTAGGAGTTTGACCTATTTTTGAAAAACTTTAATCTTGGCCAAAACTTTTGAATGGTTGATGCTAGGGCTTTCATACTTCACATATGTAATCCTTGTGACAAGACCTTCCTTTGGATACCAACCACTTTGACCCTTTGACCTTGACATAGGAGTTTGACCTACTTTTGAAAAAACTTTAACCTTGGCCATAACTTTTGAATGCTTGGTGCTAGGGCTTTCATACTTCACATATGTAATCTTCCTTTGGATACCAACCACTTTGACCCTTTGACCTTGACATAGGAGTTTGACCTACTTTCAAAAAACTTTAACCTTGGCCATAACTATTGAATGGTTGGTGCTAGGGCTTTCATACTTTACATATGTAATCCTTGTGACAAGACCTTCCTTTGGATACCAACAACTCTGACCTTGACCTTGATGTTTTACTTACTTTTAAAAAACTTTAACCTTCGCCATAACTTTTGAACAGTTGCAGCTAGGGCTTTCAAATTTAACATTTTTTTATCTTTTGGCCTGGATTTTGACTTGCATTTGAGAAACTTTAACCTTCGCCATAAGCTGCCATATGGGGGCATCAGTGTTTCACAAACACATCTTTTTTCTTTTGTACTTGCATATCATAAATCATATTGATAAACACCTAAGTTAGGGATTTTTTTCTGCTTGCAGGTGGTAATTCAATACACGGCAGACAAAGTGCAAAATCTATTGCAAGACTTTAAAATCACTTGACAGTAATACCTTAATCCCCATTACCATTGTTGATACTGATCCAAGGTCAAATATCTAAGGTCAAGGTCACAGGGCTATACAATTTTGTCTATAACTTTTGGGAGAATACTCCCCTCCTCCAATTAAATCTTTACGTATTGATCTAGAGATAATCGAATCAAAGTTATTTCTTTAAGTGAAAAACATACGGCATTAAATAAATCAACAGAAAGAAAGCAAGTTAGTAACAGAGAATATTGCACATATAATCTAAAGGTATGTAAGGTTGGCCAGTAAAGATGGGAGAGGAAGGCGAGAGAAGTGCCTTTAGTGGGATAAAAATGAAGGTGAAAATTAATTATTAATTATACCAAAATTTTCTTTGATATTTCAACTAACATTAAAGTATATTTTTTGTAAAATTTCCAAAATTTGCAAGAATCTCACAAAGATTGAAATTATATGCTTTTGAAATAGGAACCACACACTTTAGAGGGCAGAATGGAACATTTTCTCATACTATAACACATTTTTTCGATATGAGCGGGTCTTCGATCTAATTTTTTGGAAAGTTTAACCTCAAAGTTTACGTGAAAATATACATATTTGGTCAACAAAATCATGGAGCAAAGACCCACTATACCTTTAAAATACACTTTTATGACACAACATTCGCATCTTTCCGAGAAATACTTGAAGTCCATTTATTCAAGGGTCACAACACAATTCATTGGGGGTTGTGAAGCGTAATGGTTAGCGTGTTAGTCTCAAAAGAAAATGATACTCAGGATTTTTATCGCTAGGGATTCGAATCCTTCGAATACCACATTATTTTTTAATAAAAGAATAATATTTGCCGAGAAAATTTTCCTCAGAAAAGTTTTGTTTGTCATAATTTCATAAATTTCAATAATGGAAACTTTACTCTAAATACTAAATTCACAAATTAAATATGATTTATATATATATGAAGCTATAGGCATTCTGCACGGCTTGTTCACCCATCTCCTTACTGCTGAATGTATTTTTTGTAAACACCTTCCAATAACTGTGTCACAGGAAATGCAACAGACCCAAGTCGTAAAATTCATAGCATCACAAAACAGAGGACTGTTGTGGGGGAGGGGGGTGGTGTCAGTATGGGGTGGGTCAACGTCTCCTTTCGTCACAAACCTAGTGTCATTTTATAGATATTAATGCGCAAATCACGTCTTAGTTATAATATGCCCATCTTCGCTAGCCGAGGGTTTCTGATCCGCTACTCTCCTCACAAACCGTTTGTAAGTAGTGGATCAGACACCTTTGGCTAGCGAAGATGCAATAGTGTTCGGTTTTTGGAGTATGTAAAAAGGTTTATGAGGTTTATAAACAAGGTTTCTCACTGGTCTATTGATACTCACAATTTTGACATCCTTCTTTGGGCCAAGAATAAAATTAACGATGACATAAATTGTAACAGCGATGGTCGCTAGCACCATGACGATGATCTCGTAGGGTCGCTCCGCAAGAAGGCCGTGGAAAACGTAATACATACAAAAAACTGAAATGACATATATTTCATTTTTAATAATTCACAACGAGACTTGTGATTTCACTGGCAAGAAAAAAAAGCAGGTCAAGTCGGACATTCTTTATAATTAGAGATATGAAATCAAATGTATAAATAAAGTATTCAACACCACACAGTTTTGCGGTTTTTAATTGAATTGATGGAATATAAGACACTGAAATAAGATTCTGCTAAGTAAAGTTTTACAGTATTCAAAGAATGTTCAGATACAGTCTTATCTATGTACCAGCATTAACAATGATGACAAGGGCGAATGTGAAGTCTGGATTTCCATTACTGGTGGTGGCTAATCGTTGAATTGCCAGGCCAATGGCGCCTAAAGAACTGAGTATTGATATCACAGCAAATGCTATTTCTTTCTTCTCCAAATCTTTCAGAGGTCTTTTCTGTGCATAAAAATATGAACAGTTGTATACAAAATTTCTAGGTGGAAAGCATAATAAGTGGGTAATGGTAAATCATTGTGTACCCGTACCTGGCCTTAACAGTCTCATTACTTTCATTCATAGAAGCTGATATTTGATAAAATAATCCTGTAAACGTACTTATTTTAGCGGTGGTCATATTCAAGCGCTTTTCGTGCTACTTCTGTACACGTTAATATACATTGTATGTTATAAATCAATACTTGTCGTTTTCAAGACTCGTGTGCGCTAATTTATGATTGCGCTGATCAGATGAAGAGGAAGATTGCTCTAAATTTTGAGTTCGCTCCCATGTATTTATGTACGTTTACAGTAATTCAATCAATCCAAAACTTTTGTGGCTTTTTTTTAGTAACAAGTGGCACTATTAAAAGTAGGTTAACTTTCATACAGTTTAGAAAATCATATCAAGTGGCAGAGAATGAAATACCAAGTATCTAATGAATGACAGTGACATTTTGCAAACAGGGAAAATATATCTGACAAGTCACATATCAGAGATAATTGTGTGTATTGGTTTCCCTTGTTTATATCATTATTATAATTTATAAGTGATTATTAAACAGTGTCAGCATTACTGATAAAGTTAAAACATCACTAAGGTAACAGATGACACATAGTACAGTGTATATTAACTGTATCCACCTATATTCTACATGAAACATATGGTACACTTAAGTGAATTAAATACTTGTACATTGATACCATTTCAACATTGATTTTTTTTCTCACTTCCCTGTGTGCAAGTGCAAGATATTACTTCAAATCACGAGATATTTTATTTAACATGTGACTTTGTTCATTATTTTATACAAGATTTTATACCTAGGGTAATAACAAACCAAGACTAAAAGAAGTGATGGCCAGTGGGCTGTGGTTTATTAAATTTTAAAGTTTGATTAGTACTATATGAATATTCAAGTCAGGTGGATCCACCTTTTTTTTTTAGTTAATATATCAATCCTTGCTAATTAAGTGGACCAGTGAAGCAAAGTATTTGAGCTGATACATGTTAGTTGAATTTTGATGACTCAAATGACTTGTGAAAATCATCCCTGATAAATACATGTACACTAGAATAAGAATGTCAAAACTTTTTTTTAAAAAAATGACACTGATGCTGTCCTCACTGAATTCAAAAGAAAAAAAATTGAAGATTTATATATATTTTACTTTGGAATATACTAAAAAAGAAATTTAAAAAATTGAATGTTATAAATAAAAAGACAGGGAAGTGTGGAAAGGATGTGGCCCAACAATGGAATCATTGACAGCTGTTCGGGTCTCATTTTTAAAACAAAGGAGAATTGTATTTCCAGTATCACCAGAGACTAGACGCATGTACAGTATACATGTGTGACACTGTCACAGTAAACTCATGGAAATTGATGCATTAATTTTTTTTTATTATGAATTGATTCATATTTGTTGATATGAAGATCATAAATAATAAACAAATTGTAAATTAAATTGTGTTATTAATTGTTATATTTAATTTTAATATATCATCGACAACATGTCATTAGCCATTTGATCACTCTGACCTGCAGTTAAGAAAACTAGAATCTACCCATACGGCCGAAACTTCAAAACACATGTTGTAAGTATCAAAGCTTTTTAAACACGCATTATACATATTGCAAGAACGATCTGATTCTCTCGTTAACTACTGAGAATTCTGTACAACTACGCCTACAAAGCAAGAAAAAAACAGAGGAAGGATATCGACATGCACCTTGCCTAATGCCCCTTCTTCTAGCTTCGGAGCTGCAGTTATTCCCAGGTCTGCAAACGTCAGTGGCTCCTCTCGTTTCTCTTGTTGGTCCATGGTTCCGTCTATCGTACCTGAACTACTTCCTCATCATCACATCATGCAGAAAACATGTTGAAAGTGAAAGTAGAAAGTATACTCGCGTCTTCAAAACGCTTGTACTATCGATTTTGTTTTGTCATGTAAGGAAGCGTTTAACAGACCTGCAAATAGTTCAAGGACAGCAGACGAATGAGGGCCTCCACAAGATGAGAATTTTTTGACGTTTTAGTTTAAAAGATTCGTGTCAGTAGTATTCAGCTGAACATTTTTTGTACGATATTGCTTTATTTCTTATATTAGAGTAAAGAAAATTATCTGTTACCCTTGGAAAGCTTTGGCCTACGGTATACGGTGGTAATCAGGTAAGTATTTATGTTGTCTACATAACCATGATTACAGTTTTTTTTTCTAGATTCGGCGAATCTTCATAAAAATAGTAGTTTATAAGACTTTATACAAGCGACTTTTTTTACTTTATTATACTGCTAACTATTTCACACGTAATAAGAAAAGTGTATGTTTCTCCTTTTTCAAGAATATTTTTATGAATACATTAAGCTGGATAAGGAAATGTGACACAGCTTGTACATACCTTTAGTATAAAGACCATTGTATTTTTATAAAGATGACCATGAACAGCAATGGTAAATTGCTATCTGTCCTCCAGACAGTGTGTCGCTGTTCACTGCGACATAAGGCAACAACTGCCACTGCAGTGAAGCCATTCTTCTACCAGGACATCTTGCAATTCGAAAGACCCCATGATACCCCATTTAAGAAATTAACAGGTATGGTTTTTAGAATATAATCAATGCTGATGTTGTACAGAATTGTTTTGACTTTTTCAGATATTACATTTCAGTGGTATTGCAATATGACTAATAGAGACAAATTGAATTTGATTTAATGAAATCTTGATACTTCTGTATGAATTTAACTACTTCATGGCGTAGTAAGTTAAGATTTAGTATTGTATCTTAATAGGTTCTTGCGTTTGTTATAATTTACAAAAAGTTTCCAATTATAATTTTTTTTTTAAATTTATGTATGATTTAACTCTGTATTTAGGTGACTATGTGTCTACGTTTGAGGTGAAGGGGAAGAAATGTCTTAATGTTGAACCAGAGGCTCTAACTTTGATCTCAGAACAAGCAATGATTGATGTGGCCCACTTATTAAGACCAGCTCACCTGCAGGTAAATTTGTAAAAAAAAAAAAAAAAATGAGAAAAATTTATCATTAACATAGGAAAGATGGAAAAGTAAGGGTTTTTCTTGTAAGTTTGTCCATTTTTAATCAGGGGCAGAGCAGTAAATTTTTTTTTACAGTTTCTACACAGCATAAAAATGATTTTATATATCTTTGACAGCAACTATCCAATATACTGAAGGATCCAGAGGCATCAGAGAATGACCGTTATGTTGCTCTTGAATTTCTAAAAAATGCTAATGTTGCAGCAGGAATGGTACTTCCTGGGTGTCAGGATACAGGCACAGCAATTATAATGGGTTAGTGTTACATTTAGCAATTTGTTTAATACTGAAAAATATATACTGATACATGCAAATGAATTGATAGTAAGTTTTTAGAAATTACATCTGTAAATAGAATTTTGAGAGAATAATACCAATTTTTCGATAAAATTGTAATTATCCTTACACTTATCACTCCTGCATTAGATATAATCAATTTGAATTCTGTTGATTCTCCTTCATTAGGTAAAAAAGGTCAGTATGTTTGGACAGATGGAAATGATGCCGAGGCATTATCCAAAGGTGTATACAATACTTACACCAAGAAAAATCTAAGATATTCACAGGTATTAGTCAAATATTTATGTTTCTATATATGTTCATTTGTTCTCACTTTTTGTTGAAAAAAGTTTCTATAAATCTACCTTTGATTAACTAATGACTAAATTTAAAAATAAAAAAAATATTTATTCATTTTAGTTGGAAAATGATGATGATGATAAATTTGTGATTTTTTTTTTGAGTAATGCCTGGTTTTCTTCACTTTATATTAACTCATTTGACAAATACTGTCAGTAAATTTAATTTAAAAAAAATGTTTGTTAAAGGTTGCACCACTGGATATGTATAAAGAGGCAAACACTGGTACCAACCTGCCAGCTCAGATAGAAATTTATTCCACTAACAGTAATCAGTACGACTTCCTGTTCATTGCTAAAGGAGGAGGGTCAGCCAACAAGACATTCTTGTATCAGCAAACAAAAGCCCTCCTCAACCCTGAAAAACTGATGAGTTTTGTTAATGAGAAAATAAAGGTAATAAAGCCTCCTTCAACCCTGAAAAACTGAAGAATTTTATCAATGAGAAATAAAGGAAAGAAAGCCCTCCTTAACCTAGAAAAGCTTATGCAATTCAATGATAAAATAAGTGAGAATGCCCTCCTCAACCCAGAAAAACATGAGTTTTGTTAATGAGAAAAAAAGGTAAGTAGGTAAGTAAGACTTTTCTCATCTCAGAAAAACTTATGAGTTTTGTCAATGAGGAATAAAGGCAGGAAAGCCCTCTACAACTCAGAAAAAAATCTGAGTTTTTTTTAATGAGAAAATAAAGGTAAGAAAGCCTTTGAAAAGCCAGAAAATTTTTGATTTTTTGTCAATGAGAAAATAAAGGTAAAGAAAGTCCCCTTAACCTGAAACAGTAGTTTTGTCAAAGATAAAACATAGGTTAAAATGTCTTTTTAGTACATTTTTCTAATAATTAATAGGAATGGCATTTTTGTTTGACAAGATTTTGTTCTTTTTGTTTTTACTTCTCAATTGTAGACATTAGGTACAGCTGCTTGTCCACCTTATCATTTGGCCATTGTTATAGGAGGAACTTCAGCAGAATTCAACTTAAAAACTGTGAAATTAGCATCCACCAAATACCTTGATAGCATCTTCAAGTCAGGTAAACAATTAAGAGCATTACTATTTCTGAGGTATTAAATTAGCCTTTCTATTTTAAGTATGAACTTATTGAAACTTGGAAATATTTTACAGGAAATGAACACGGAAGAGGTTTCCGTGACTTAGACATGGAGAAGAAGATCCATGAATTGACACAGAAGACAGGAATTGGGGCTCAGTTTGGGGGTAAATATTTCTGTCATGATGTGAGGGTGGTGCGACTGCCTCGTCACGGTGCTTCCTGTCCAGTAGGAATAGGCGTGTCCTGTTCAGCTGACAGACAGGTGAGATACTAAATACAGTTAAACCACGTTATCTCGAACTCAATGGGACCGAGAAAAAACTTAGTGATATCCCAGTATTTGAGATATCAAGGGTTAAATACATAAAGAATAAGTGGTTGGGATTTCCAATTCACTTCGACATATCCATGGTATTTGAGATATCAGTGTTCGAGATACCGAAATTCAACCTGTAGCTGAAAGTTTTACAAAATGTACACTTCAGACTGAGAGAACCTACTTAACTTTATATTAAATTAAGATTTTAATACATGCACTCTGTTTTAGCTCATATAATATAGTTGTTTTATTAATAGTTGTTGAAAATTCCTTCAGGTTTTAGGGAAAATAACAGAAGATGGAGTCTTCCTTGAGCAACTGGAGACAAACCCTTCAAAGTACATGCCAGAGGTTCAGGAGAAAGATCTCACTACAGAGGTTGTTCAGGTCTGTGCCTCATGTATTTAAATAACTAAAATAAATTAATTTTTAACTGATGATGATCTTGGGTTTTACCATAATTTTTAAAGCAATATGAGCTGCAAATTTGATGGCGGAAATTTTTGTTGCAAATTGTAATTAACTATTTCAATGACAGGAAAACAAACTGTTTGTAAAGTTTTGTTTTTCATATTTGCGATGAAAGAACTATTTTTAAGCTTTGGTTGAAGCAGAATTACATTATTGTCATCCTGTACAATATTGATTCCTTATATAATACTATATATTCGATTGTAAAGAAATCTTTCTTCTGAAATTATTAAATACTTTATTTAAGTCAAATTGATCAAAAAGATTCAAAATACATAGAAATTTATCAAAATAGCACATTTTAACAGAAAAATTAAATTCTCAAAAATGCAGCTCATATTACTTTAATAATTTCTTAACCACATTACTAAATTTATGAATGAATCCATCAATAGTACATGTACATATAAGGGACAATACCTTTTCATTCTTGGTTCAGATTGGTGTTTTTGAAACACTTTTGGTCATTGTGATTGAAAGTTATTCTCCATTTCCCCACAGGTTAATTTAAATGATGGTATGGATAAGATACTGAAATCATTAGACAAGTATCCGGTGAAGACCAGGTTAAGTTTGTCAGGTACCCTTATAGTAGCCCGAGATATAGCCCACGCCAAGCTTCAGGAGAGACTGAGAACAGAGGGTTCTCTGCCACAGTACTTCAAGGACCACCCGGTATATTATGCAGGACCAGCCAAGACTCCAGAGGTCAGTGTAGTCTCTACAGCTACAAGTTCTATGTACAGATACAATGAACAAGCTTATAATGAATTCACCCTTACAGCAGAGTGATTGTCACTCCTCATAATTTTAAAATGTACTTATCATGAACTTCTCAGATATAATGAATTATAATGTTTATAACAAATTGATATTGTTCATACCCGGGTCCTCACCATTAGTGTGTTTTACTGTACACAATACATGTAATTGGGATGTGAATTAACTAAATTCTTGTGATTCTTCACACATCTAGGGACTTCCGTCTGGATCTTTTGGTCCTACAACAGCTGGGAGGATGGACTCGTATGTAGATGAATTTCAGAAAGCAGGAGGAAGCATGGTTATGTTGGCAAAAGGCAACAGAAGTAAACAGGTAAATACATGTCTCTCACAGACATAGACAGGTAAATACATGTCTCTCACAGACATAGACAGGTAAATACACATTTCACACAGAAGTAAAGTGGTAAATTCATGTTTTACACATAAGTATATAGGTAAATTCATGTTTCACATTGATTTGAACACGTAGTCATATTTTACACTTTGTCAAGGTTTAATTGAAATAAATTATGTTTCAAACATTTCCAAAGATAATTTAGTTATAATAGACTGTATTATTTGATTGACACAGGTGACAAAGGCCTGTAAGGGCAATGGTGGATTCTACCTGGGGTCCATTGGTGGACCAGCTGCTATATTGGCACAAAACTGTATCAAGAAAGTGGAGCAGCTGGAATACCCAGAATTAGGTAAAAATACTTATTCTAATCTAGTTAATTTCCAACCTCTTGATATTTTTATTTTGAATAATGTGTTAGTTAGTTGTTGTTTAGACATATAAGAAGAAAGAGGAATTTATAAACTGATAATTTTGTGATTGTTTGATTGAAATAGGAATGGAGGCTGTGTGGAGAGTTGAAGTGGAGAACTTCCCAGCTTTCATTGTTGTAGATAATAAAGGCAATGATTTCTTCGAGGAGTGGTCTGTGGAGTAATTATAAGTTCAAGAAGAGAAATGCTACAATTGCTCTGCCAGACTGAAAGAGTTACAAATAACGTGTTTTTATTAAATGTACTTTACACTCCCATAATTCTCTGTGGCTACTGCGTAACCATTGCTTTGATTAGAAAAAAAATCATGCATTATCCACATATACATATAAATTGCTTGTGATTTAATATTAAATTTTAATAAATTTGTTATTTATTTATTTGATAGTTGTACCTTTTATGTGTATTGATTTACATAGTTTCCAGAGGTTTATTTTACGAACACGTGTAATGAAATTTATTAAAAGTTTGTTTATTTTTTTCTAATTTATTAAAATGAGCAATGACAATACAGTAATACATTTATACTAGTTATCACAGAATGATCAGAGCTTGAAAAGGACTGTACATGGATTCCTTTTTCCTATTGAGAAAAAAACTTTGATAAAGAACTAAACAACAGACATAGTTACTATCTGATACCATAACAAATTACATTAAAATTTACAAACTTGTCTGTTTATAACAATTTATATAAGCATATAAAAATCATACCTATAAAGTACAAGTATTTAGTAACAAAATTAAATGCATCATATACTTAAATATACATTTTACAAGTTTGCTGATTTATGTATGTGAAGCAAATGTGAAAATGGACGGAATGAGCAATAATAAATAACATTCGGTATCTGAGGTAAATAACTCGCTAGTTCTGGTGTTTACCAGGTGTGATGGACAAGATGTAAAGAGTTGATCAACTATTTGCAAGTAAATATTGCTGGATATACGCTCTATAAAGCAGATTAATTTAAATTGGTACATTTTTTTTTTCTTAATCTGAATGTCAACTACTTTTTTTAAGCCTGTGAATGGTATTAACAAAATCTTCAGACATTTGTTTCTGCATCATAAGCTCATTGATGACTGAGCTTGTTCACTGTTGTTCAAGTCTCATACTGCTGACTGAGCTTGCTCACTGTTGTTCAAGTGTTATAATGTTGACTGAGCTTGTTATTCATTATTGTTTAAGTGTTATACTGTTTTCCACTGAATGTATCCACCACGCTCCACTGAGCCAGAACCGGCATCTTCCCTGCTGCGGACACCATGAAACTGTCATCATACAGAAACTCCAATGCAGTTACAGTGGAAGAGTACAGCTTGGTCCAGCGACAAGCAGGCTAGGATAAAAACACAGCTAAGATTAATATGACCAAAGTCTGCTGCAAGTTTGACTTAATTAACAAGAAATATCGCACTTCGGAAAATTTAAGTTATGAGTAATGCTTTAGAAATTTTTATGTTATAAAGTTTTGGCTACCATGTTGGTAGAAGATGGATATTTGAAAACTTTGATTCTGCCTGTGTTGTCTCCCGTGACGATGACCTCGCGGTAATTGGAGCGTGCTACCACAGAAACGGTCTCACCAGGGTCACATGACGTCCAGGGACCTAAATACAGGTGAAAACCAGGATTTTATGGCGTCCCTTTGGGACTTAGTCGAAGCAGAAAAGCAGGCGAGTTAGTCAGAAAGATAATATGGTTATAAATATATAATAAGTTATACTTTAGATGTGGATTTTTAACTACATGTAGAAATTGTATTACCCATCAGTGGGTGACCAGCACAACAGCTGTACGTTTGCCAGTTACAATCCCGAAGAGCACGAGGGGCCTCTCTTTCCATGCGTTGAATATTCCCTGAATGATAATGAAGCCGAAACTAATATTCTTCAAGGTAAAAAGTATTCAAAAATTATTAAATATTTAACGTTAATATGGTGACTGCAAAACACTTACAACATAAAAGTTCAAAATCTCCGTCCACACTCTGTAGATAGCGACTGTCGGTAGACCAGTCAAGATTTGTTACAAATTTGCCGTGTCCCTATTAACATAATATTTTTTAATTACCAATAAATTATCGATTCTACCATTACAATCATAATCATGTTATGTTTATAAAAATTTAAAATCTGTACAGAGTACATACCCTAAGGATAATGTTGTTCTTGCGGTAGATCTGCCCCTCATCATGTACGTAAAAGATGTGAATGTGTCCATCTTCACAACCAACTGCTAACATGGCATTGTCTGAGTAATAAATCCAGTCAGTTATTTACCTGTTTTTATTTTATTTTCCAAGATAAGAATATGTCTTTAACAATGCTTACCAGGGGAGAACCTCATTGCGTTGATTTGTGATTTTCCTACTTGGACGGTAATAATGTGCATCCCGTTTCTGGCGTTCAAGACGAAGAATCGTCCAGCCACGGAGCCCACGGCGACATAAATACCACGATTGTCGACTGCCAGAGCCGAGGACGGCTTCTACAACATAGTGGAAAAGACCAATCCCAAACACTGATTAGATCAGATCGAAAAAAAATACTTTAGAAAAAAAATTGCTGATATGCAAAAAAAAAAAAAAAAAAAAAAAAAAAAAAAAATCAGTTTCAATACCTCCATCTGAGAGCGCCAGACGACGCGATGCTTCACGGCAGA